AATGACTCCCATCCACCAGTCCATCCTCCCTCCCACTCTGCCCACACTCACAGACCTCGGCCCCCGCCCCGTGGGGCTCCTGAGTGTGCGAGTGATGTGCACTCGTGATTCCCAGGGCACAGAGAGGTAGCGGAAGCGGCTCCCAGAAGATAAAGAGACTGGCATGGGGGCATATTTAGGAACAGCCTCGCTCCCCCCGAAGGTCTGGCCCCTCTTTCAGGAACAGGAGGCCCCTCAAACCCCTCAATTTCTAAGGCACAGTTGACACCATAATTTTAATCGTTCACGGATAACATGCGATGCACCAGCTCAGAGCAGCAGCGCCCCAGCCTCAGGACTGCCCTGCCCGCTTAGGAGGGGAAGAGGCAGCGAGTGAGGGCCGGCCCCAGACGTGCAGGAGGCCAGGGCCTTCACCTGCTGTCCATGAGCTCCTTTTCCTTTCTCAGTCTTTTCCTAGTAATTTTACTGAGCATCATTTATAAGCCATTCACCCCGCCCTCCAGGTGACGTTAGTGAGCTCAGAACCTCTGTAACCATCGGAGCTGGGCACACTTCCGTCACCTCAGGAAAGGCTCTCAGCGCCCATCTGCAGTGGCTGTTGTCTCCACCACCACCCCCGCATCCGCTGACCTGCAGGCTGGCCTGGGTGTTTCCTGTAAGCAGACCCTCGAAACATGGGGTCCTTACAATCTGGCTTCTTTCACTGAGCGCGATGTTTTGAGTTTGGTTTGGTCCATGCTGTAGCAAGGGTCAGCCTGTCCTTCCCACTGTACGACTGCACCCGTTCCTGCATCCGCGCCCAGCTGATGGGCTGTGGCTGCTGTAGTGAACATCTGTGTGCGAGCCTCTGCGTGGAATCGTGGCATTTCCCAAGCTCTGTCTGCACACGTGTGAGTGGAATTGCTGTACTGTGTTCAATTTCTCTGCAACTTTCAAAAAACCATTGAACTTCTTTTCAAACTGCTGTACCATGTTCCAAGGCCACCCAGGGGCCAGACAGTCTGAGAAGCCCGGGTTCAAAGCCCTCTGGGACCCCAGAACCACCTGGAGAGTGCGGTGAGGCTGTCACCTGTGGCTGGTGTCCCCCTTGGCCGCTGGTGGTTCTGATGTCGGGGAATGGGTGGAGCAGAGGGGCTGTACCAGAGGGGATCCCATCATTTCCCCCATAATCTGAGCACCCTACTCTGGGGACAGGAGCAGGCAGGGCAGCCAGCGAACCAGGGGAACTGGGGCACGGGTGGAGCCACCTGCAGCCATGGCCAGGGTGGGAAACCAGCTCTGCAGGCAGGGGTGTAAGAGTCACCGGGCCCCGCTCTGGAAGCTTGAGGCTACTGTGACTTCATCCCAGGGGCCCAGCGAGGACGACAGGGAGCCAGCTGCCTGGAAAAGGGCCCCACCAGGACCATGGCTCTGCTGCCCCAGCAGAAGGCATCCCTGAGCTGTGCTGCCCACCATCAGTCAGCAGCTCCGAGCCACACTGATGCTCCAATGGGGCCTGAGGCTGCGAGGATAGGCCCCAGACCCAGGGCTCAGCACAGAGGCCACAGCTTTTCAGGACAGAGAGGATACTCCTGCCTCAGCCTGTTTCTGAAAGCCACATGCATATCCACCTGAACTGAGGTGGCTTATCTGGAAACAGAGTCCCTGAAGATGGGACAGAGCAGGAGGAGGTGGGCGCTAATCAGTAGCAGGTGGTCTAACAGGAGGGAGATCTAGTCCCACAGGAGAGACATGGAGGCCAGCGTGAAGGCAAGCAGGGAGCTTGTCACAGGAAGAGGGTGGGGAGCTACAAGCCCAGAGTCACCAGCAACCACTGGAACCAGGAGACCTCCAAGGCTACAGTCCCCTGCTTTCAAACTCCTCCAGTACGAGAGGGGACCCACACATGGTGTTCAGAGCCGCTTTCTTAGGAGAGCCCTGGGACTCTGGGACCAGAAGCAGGTCTCAGGCTGCAGGTAGCGAAGGCTTGTATTTAACATTCGCACAGAAGATTCAGAGAACAGAAGGGAAATGGCATCTCAGGCTTCCAGCTCTGTGCCTTCCCTTGTGTCTGGAACGGCATTCTCAGCCTGTGCAGGCCTGATCTTTTTCGTGAGCCCCAGGCGCCCCGGTTGAACCTGCCCCAGTCCTGTTCCCTCTGCTCTGCCTGTCCCAGTGTTTTGCCCCCTACTGGCTTGTGTTTGCCTGCCCAGCTACTGCCACCCCGCAGGACCAGCATTTGTGTCTGGCAGGGCTCAGTTTCCGAACGCTGTGGTGCCCACTGAATAGTTCGGAGACGAGGACACCACATGACCAGCCAGCTTCACTCAAAAAGCCGTGCTGTTTACAGAGCTGGCAGAGAAGTACCAGGACTGGGAACTGGCAGTGGAATGCCACCGAGCTGAGCTCACAGCCCTTGAGCCAGAAATGATGGCGTCATCTTGAGTGTGAGTGACCCGAAAAAACTCAACCCTTCAGCTCCCAGCAGCAGCAGAGCGATGGGAAGCAAAAGCTGGCGGTCGGCCGTGCAGGACATGGGCAGGTGTTTGCCCATCATGAGCAACCCCTGTGTCACAGCAGTGCCCCATGGGAGAGCCAATGTTCACTGTCCAGCTATGAGGCTGGACAGAGCTGGAGTCTCTGACTGTCCACTGGCAATGCTCCTTCCAGTCCGTAGCCAGCTTGTCCAGGGTTGAGGTCCCCCATGAGAGCCCAGAGGAGCTGGTCCCCTGGAGCACTCTCAGGAACAGCCAGGAGCGGAACCCGATTTCTGCTCAGAACGGTGTGGTGAGGGGCACCACACAGCCCTGCCGTGTGGACCCCCAGGGCAGGCAGATGCTTCGCCAAGATGCCACCCCTCCTCCACCTGCAGGACAGGTCAGCGTCCCTGGCTGCAAGGCACTGGGACATAGGGAGTGCAGGGAAGAGAGCCGTCGGAAGCCGGGAACAGAACCAAGAACCCCGGTGCTCACAGGGACTCTGACTGGGCCTGACCGGGCCTGCTCTGTGTGGCCCTGTGGCCCTGTGGCAGGGCCTGCCATCCAGCAAGGCCACCAGCCGGCACTGTTGGCAGCTCTGTGGGACTCCCTCAGGGTGGGACCTTCCACATCAGCCTGATCCTGGGGACTAGACCCACTGCAGAGAGTCCGCAGACACAGCACCGAGGTGACAGCTGGACATGAAGGCCACAGGGCCAAGGAGCGGCTAGATTTTGTCTCATCTGCACCTCGCACAAGGCTTGAGTGTCAAGGACAACTGAGGTCCAGACGTGTCAACACGGTCACAGATTGGAGCTCTCCAGCGAAGCCTGGACACTGTACTGGACCTTGCAGAACTGGCCTGAAGAACAATGCCAAGAAGGGGACAGTGAAACGCTGGCCACTGATAGGTGCATCCTGTCCACAAGCTTACAACAGCCTGCAAAGCAGACACACGCTGCTGTCCCAGCTCGGCCTCACTGTCTCCTCCCACGGAGCGCTTGGCTACACGCTCTGGGGCTGGGCAGGCCTCCGCGGACTGGCCCCATGGCCTGCCTTTGGGAACCAAGAGGCAATTCACTCTCAGCTGCAAGGTTCACATCTAGGGTCTGAGGGAGGAGAGGCCGTCACAGTGGACTGAGCCCCAGGATTGGGGTGATGTGGAAGGTCCCACCCTGAGAAAGGCCCCCAGAGCTGCCAGTGGTGCCAGTTGGTGGGCTTGCTGGATGGCAGGCCCTGCTCCACAGGGCCACCCAGAGCAGTCTGCTCACAACTGGCCCACGGGCAGCATCTCTGTCTCCCTGCTCTCCATGGTGTTGGCCTGCAGTGCTGTCAGCTCCGAAGCCTCTGGGCCCCACACACAGGGCAGCACCTCAACACCTCGAGCTCAGGCAGGATGCTGAGGACAGCACAGGCTGGTCTGCAGACATGGGGCAGGACTTCGGGACGTCAGCCTAGTGCAGCCCACCCTGTGGGGAGGAGAGGCCCACAGAGGGGAGGGGCCTTCTTTCCATGTGGGTCTTGGTTGAGCAGTTACTGGCCCAGTGTCCCACTGGGTCTGGGCTTTTGCCTCAGTTTCCATGGTGTAGAAGGAACGGACTCCTCCCCACCCCGCCCCCAAGAGGAAGCCCAAGAGGCTGGGGCACACGGGTGGCAGGCCCAGGACACAGCGGCAATAGTTCCCATGCCCAAGTCCAGGGTCATGAGGATCAACCTCTAACCACCACCCCTCACACACACCCACAGGTACGCACACACCTATGTACGTGCCCAGTTTCTTGTCAGCCTAAGCATGAAAAAAAACACTAGCCAGCACCTGGATGACTCAGGCAGACTTCACCGCGTCTGGGTGTCAGGACTGACTTAGATCACAGACCTGCGGTCACTACGGGCCACAGCTGGGGCATTCAGAGCTCTGGGACCAAGAGGTGGTCAGGCCACTGGGGAGGAACCCAAGCCGCAGTGATAGCTCAGGTCGGTCAGGGGCCCGAGCCAGGGGCCGCGGCCTTTGGCTACCTGCCTGGCACACTCTGCTGTTATCTCACCAAAGCAGGGAGGTGGGGAGGCCAGGGAGCCGGCAGCTGGGCACAGGCAGTGGCAAGGGAGGGGCCAGTGGGGGCTGGCTCCCAGGGGAAGGGCAGCTGCGTGGCCTTGTGTCACCTGCAAGGCCTCTTGAGTCAGCAGAGTGTACGCAGGTCTGGGACTACAACCTGACTGATAGGGACACAGGAGCTGGGGGTTAAAGGGCGTGTTCTAGAGCCAGGTCCAGTCCCTGGGCAGGGGACCCTCAGGTGCAGGCAGGCAGGACAGAAGAGGACTTCCGGTCCGACCACTTTCAGGCATGACTCTGGCAGGGCTGGAGGGGTGGGCGGGTGGCCTGCCTGGGCAAGGTCAGGCACAGGACAGGCCGGTCTCAGGGCTCCCAGCCTGGCCCTGCAGGTCCCGCACGAAGTGGGGATACCACCCACAGAGCCAAGCCACTGGGCTGTGTCCCCAGGAACTCCCTAAGGTGGACCAGGAGAGCCAGGAACCACAGTGGCTACGTTTTGTTAAAAACGATCATGTTTCATCAGAAACTGGCTCTGAAAACGAAGACCATATCCAGGACGCGCACTCCGGCTTCCTCTGCCACGGTTCCTCCACGGCGAGGTTTCCAGGCAGTGCCCGCCTGTGTGCACAGGCCAAGGCTGAGGTGCCAGCCTGCCCAGCAAAAGGCCACTGAGAAAACTCACACCCAGGCATGGGAAGGTCTTGGAGCACCGCGTCTGGGAAGAGGAGGACAGTCCGGGCTGCGGGGACACACCAGCCGTGCTGCTGTGAGCTGTGCTGCTGTGGCTGGTCTCTGTGCCCAGATGGCCGCTGGGAAAGGAGTGGAGGCAGAGCTGGGGCCAGGACACTCCAGACAGCCAGGCTGTGCAGACCCCAGGGCAGCCTGGCCAGTGGGCACCCACACTGCCGCTACCCTGGGCCCCTCCCAGCTCACCTCAGGCACCTGTTGAGCAAGGCACCCCCCACTTTTCCCCTCCACACCCAGCTGCACACAGATGACACAGCTTCAATTCTTAGGGTGAGTGCCACTCCACTCTGGGGTGTGCGTCGAGCCCAGAGCCCAGGATAGAAGGGAGTGGTGTGGGGCCTGGACATGCCCCTGTACCTGGGAAGAGCAGACCTAACAGGACAGCGAGGGCACCTGCCACCCACCCCCACAGGCCTCCATGGGAGGGTGTACAGCACAGGTCAGCGTCTCGTGGGTGTCAGAACAGGCTTGGGGAGGTCTGGGCAGATGCGTCATGGTCCCGGATGTACTGCAAGATGTCCATCTCGTCCATTGCTTGGATCTGCTGCTGCTGCCTCTGCTGTGTGACCTCGGCTTCTGCTGAGCTCTCTCTGGGAGGCGCAGCTGGTTTTCTGGGCAGTGCTGGCTTCTCTGCCACAGGTGGCTTGGGTTTAGGCTTGGGCCTAGGTTGGGGCTTGGGTCTAGGCTCAGCCCCTAGGTTCAGGATCTGGTCCAAGTCCTCTTCAACTCTAGGGAACCAGAGGGAGCAGCTGTAAATACGAGCAACCCCACAAAATCAGCGAGAGTCCAAGCAGGGTCACTCCTTATATGGCACTGCCATCCCCCATCCCGCCCAGCCTGGAGGAGGATCAGAAGGCCAGGGCTCACTGTTCCTGCCTCCACAGCACGCTGGGCCCCTTGGGGAGCCCCACCTGAACCCCATGCTTTGACAGGGGCTGCTCCCTCCAGCCTCTGTGGGAAAAACCACCCGCTGCCCTGTTCCAAGGTCCCGATCCACACCAGGCACAGTATCCGCTCCGCAAACGCTGCTCTGGGAAGGCGTGCCGCTCCCACCCTGCAGAGGGGAAGCTAAGGCGGCCCGGGTGGCACAGCGGCTTGCAGACAGTGCATGGCAGAAGCTGTTGGAACCCTGGATATCTGACCTGCAAGACCCAACACCCAACCTGACCAAGTCCACCTGGAGAAGGATTAGGCAGGGGTGCTGCCAGTGGTGGTGGCGGGCGGAGCTGTCCTGGGGTCTGCCCCTTACAGCTGGAGTGGTCTCAGCTGGGCCCGCAGTGCTCACTCATGCCCTGCACCTCTGCCTGCCCACTAGCAGGCGGGGACACTGCTGCCCAGGCTGCGCACAGCGGCATTGGCTCTGTTCCTCTCCAGGTGGCCTCAGGCCACCCTCCCTGATCCTCAGTCTCACCGTCTGTACCGCACCAATGTTCTTGGACTTTTGCAAGGACTGAGAAAAATAGCAGATGGAAAGTGCTGAGGGAACACTGCCCAGCTGGCTGCCAGGAGCAGGACCCAGGGCAAGGAAGAAAGGGACAGCTGCCTCCGTCCTCAGCTGGCCTGCCACTTGACGGGAGGCACGCCCTGGCCAGGGTCAGACAGGGCTTCCCTAGGGCCGGAGAAGGGTGCGGGCAGGGCGGCTTGCAAAGGGTTCCTAGGAAAGGGAGAAGCAGGGCAGGCCCGGTATAGATAGGGGAGGGACGGGGCCCCGGGAGGGCGGAGTGGACAGAAGGACCATGCTGAGCACCTGGCAGGGGCATATGGGGCTGTGCCATCACCACGCGGCTGCTGCCAGGACCGGCTGCTGACGGTGAGCCAGGCGCCCTGCTTGCTTCCTGCAACGTGGCATGGGTCCCCATGCCACTGACAGATGCCACTGAGGACGGCGGAGGATGGGACAGAGGTGTCCTTCCAGGTCGGACTCAGAGGCCCTGCCCACGCCAGCCTTGAGAGACAGTGGCGGCCTCAGTGTTACTCATGGACAGACTCTGCCCTTCCATGAGTGCCCGGTTCTAATGTTGGCTCCCTGCACATCCTCCAGAGGGGTAACGGCCCCTGGCAAAGCTCAAGGGGACAGAAGTATGCTAAGACAGGGGCCCAGAGGAAAGCAGAGCAACAGCTGAAAATCTGTGCCTGATGTCAGCTGGCATCGCATGGTAACGCAGGTACCCTGGAGCCAGGCATCACCTGGGGCAGATGTGCCATGGGGGCCACCCCGGGGGAATGCGGTGGGTACTCGTGCAAGCACAAGTCCCCCTTCCCAAGCTGCCTACCTTCATCTGGGCTCCCCAAGTCATGGCCAGGACAGGTTTCACCCCAGGAGCCCAGCTCGCCACTCTTCGGGGCCCACAGTATGAGGTCCACAGCGGGTATGGCTGAGGGAGTCCCAAAGGCCCCTCCTGCTCCTACTTGATGAGTTCCCATGGAGGACAGAGCTCAGCTGGAGCCAGGAGGGGACAACGCTTCTCAGCTGCCACCCCGTTACAGTACCACCTTGCCCTGCTTGCCCCAAGATGGCTGACGGATGATTTAACGCTTTCCATGATGGGAAACCCAGTTAGCACCTGCGCAGCCTCACGGCACACACACAGAAGAATGAAACCTGCTTCCTGCGCTCAGCGAGCTACGCCTTCTTGCCCAGCCACCTGCTCACTTTCAGGAAGGGATGCAGGGCTCAGGTCTTTAAGCCGTGACTTCCTGGGTGCTCTGTGCAGTGCTAGGCGTGGTCCCAAGGACAAAGAGCAGGGAATGCCGCTTCATGGCCCTGGCCTGCATGTGATGGGCCTGCTTACCCAGGCACGTCCCCAGCTTGCCTGGCCTCAGAACCCGCTGAACCCCCTGTGACTTGGGCTGGTAAGTGACGGGCTGAGAATCAACAACGCCTGAGGGCATAGAGCTGTCCCACTAGACACGTTCAGCCTGGCCCTGCAGCTCCCCGGGGCTGACTCTAGTACTGGCCTCCCTGTGCCTCAGTTTCTGAGCTAAGGAAATGATCACTGTCAGTGAGGCTACAGGCTAAGAAGGAACAGATGCCAGGGCCCCAGGGGAGATGTAAACACAAGAAGCCATCACTGTGACTCAGGCATTACAGGCGCTGAGAGGGTGTCTAACAGCCGGAGCTGCTAACGAGAGGGTGCCGATGACAACCTCCTGAGGTCATGAAAACTGTATGTAGTCAGCTTCCTGTAAACTTCCAAGCACACCCTGCACCCTAGGGGCAGGAACCCCACAGGCCTGGTGCAGAGGTCCAGGGAAAGCCCAGCGCCCGGGGCAGGGAAGCAGATTTCCTGGGTGGGGAGGCCAGCACAGAGGCAGGCAGGGCTGTGTGAATCACTCGGATTTCTGTGAAGTGGAGGGGACAGCCTGCCTGAGGGGCGTGAGTGAACAGTCAGCAAGGTGACAGCCTCCCGTGCCGTTGGGCACACAGCAAGCACTCAGGAAAGAGTTCTGTGCTACTTCCCCGGGCAGGGCAGCCTGGTCTCCCTTCACTGGGAGGGGCGCTCCCTGCAGACAGGCCATCATCTGTCCATCACAGCAGTGCTTTGCTCCTGCTGCCTGAGCGGCATGCTACCGGCTAGAAGTTTTATTTGTTCCCCAACCCATGTGTGCGAGTTATCCTTGCTCCTGAACTGTCATTTCATTATAACCCTTTACAGAAGCTATTAAATCACGAGTGTGAGAAGAAAGGCCGGGCCACGTGCATGAAGCTGCCATCACGGAACCCACCAAGCTGCCCTGGCCACGCTTCCTCCCAACCCCCATGGCTGCCCCTTGGCCACTGCAGCCACAGGACTTGATCTTCCAGGGTGGCCCGGATCCCAGGGTCAGCAGTACCTGAAGAGCTCGCTGGAGGTGTCCCTGCGGCCCAGGCTGGACGTGAGTCCTCCATGCTCACAGGCGGCCGGCAACAGCAGGGGGTCACCCAGGGCGACGGCCCCACCGAGATCAGGGTCGTCAAACAGCTTCAGGGCTGTGGGGAAGGGAAGAGCAAGGTGGGCCGTGGGCCGAGAAGTCCTGGCTGTGCTCTGCTGCGTGGGGCCGGGCAGGGCTGCTCGGCCACGCCTCCTATGCACGCAGAAGGCATCAGCAGGGCAGAGGAAAACCTGGGCACTGGTGTGCCTCTGCCTCGCTCCACTTTCTGGTTCTCATGGGCTCCCCTTGTTGCTCACTGAGCTGGGCTCCCAGCGTGTGCAGCTGGATACCTCAGTGATCGCCACGGCCACACTGCTTTCCAGCAGGCAGGCACTTCGTGCTGCCCACCAGCCGGGGCTCTCTGCAATGCAGGGGCAGGGGGCAGGGACAACAGGCCGCACGCTGCTCTTACTGCAGATCTGCCCACCCTCTCCCACCCGAGCTCCTTGGGGACACCCTTTGGTGGGTGCTCACCAAGCGCCTGCTCACGACTCCCTCTCCTGGGGAATACTTGGGGTGGGTGTGCAAAGAGTTGAGACTCATGGGTATGGGAGTCCTAAGGCTACTTAGCTCCTCCTCTGCCAGCAGCGCAAAGCCCCCCAGGGGGGTCTACATGGCAACACAAAACATTAACGTTAAAATTCGGAGGAGCTGGACGCATGCTCGAGGCGGGTCAGCACCCACTCCACCGAACGGTGCCTGGAGCTCCAGTGCCCAGACCTGGGTGCACAGATAAGGAAGAAAACTGTCCCCCTCCCCCACAGGATGCTGAGAGTAAACATGCAGCCCCAGAATGTTCCGGGTGGTGGAGACCTCAGCAGTGAGGCTGCATGTCTCGGCTAAGCCTGCATCCCGAGAGAACAGGACAGGGACCTGCACGCATACTGGGCAGCAGGGCAGTCACGGCGCAGACACCGTGAGCAAAGGCCCTCAACCCGGAGCTTCACTTACAGTCCACGGGGGGCATGCCCTTGGAAGGGCTCTTTGGGGACAGCCTCCTGCCTGGGCCAAAGAGCTCTCCATCAGGGTCCTCTTCCTCATCAAAGATGGTGAGCCGGGGTGGGGGCTTGGCCTTCATGGTTACCTCAGGGCGCTTCTTAGGCTTCTTGGAGCTGGAGACAACACAAACACACGAAGCGAAGCTTTCCCTGGGAAGACCAGGTGATTCACAGGCACAGTCAGGCGCTAGGCCTAACTGGGGCCTCTGGACACCTGGGCCAGAGAAGCCAGAGCAGAAGAGGGCTACTTGGAGGCCTGGAGCAGCCCAGCAGCATAATCCCGCCAGGAGGGCAATAGAAGTGGCCTCGGCATGTCCAGCAAACACATCTTCCTGCCCCCAGGATGCAGGCAGGCCAGCGAGGAGGCAGGCCTGGGCTAGGGCCACCCGAGAGGAGCTTCCTCAGATCTGACAACAGAGTGAGGAAACCCGGAGGCTGCAGCAGCCAAGCACTGTGCCTGGGGGAATGCCCGGCGCTGAGAGGGGCGGGGAGAAGCAAGCAGTCATCTGGACTAGCCTGCCAGGCCACACGCTTGCAGCTCTCCAGCTCCAGGCAGGCCTCGGCTGCTGTATGCTCACAGCCAGAGAACAAGCTCTCCTTCTGAAGGCAGGGAGGCCGGCAGGCCTGGGAACTTGGGGACCAACTCCATGGCCACAGATGGGGTGACCAGTCTGAGGGCTGAGGGTGGGGTCAGGGGGGAGCAGAAAGCAGCCAGAAAAGTCTAATTTCCTCTTGCGTAGTGTTCCCAGAGCAGGCCACTCCTTCTGGAAACCCTCAGGAGCTCAGGACCCCACCTGACTGGCCCCTTAGGTCCTGTTACCCCTGTGCACTGACAGGCAGAGGAGGCCCCACCCGGGCCCAGCCTGCAGCAGAATCTGGGGGTGGAGGGTGGTGCCAGGTTTATCTTTCCACCAGGGTGACCTGCAACCCCGATCCCGGAACTGTGTCTGTCCCTGTAAGCAACAGCCCCACTGACCAAACAGACCGAGTTTCACTGGGACAAGCTGGCCACTCCCTGCAGCTGTGGCCCGCATTAGCCCTCTAGGTTACTGCAGACAACGAGAATGTGCTTCTCCCTGGAAACTGGAGCTGCATGAGCCTGTCTGCCCGGCAGGCTGTCCCACTGGACAGAGGTCGCCACCCACCCTCACGCTGCTGACACTGTGGCAAAACTGCACAGAGACGCAGTGACACAGGCTGACCAGCAGCAGACAGAAACAGCAGGACCCTGGGTGCTGCCAGAGCCTGGCCTGCAGCTGCGGCTCAAGTGGGGAGAAGCGAGAAGCGGGAGGCCGTGGCACACACCAGCCCTCGGGTGCTCAGGGGCCAAGTCCTGGCAGGGGATCCCATGGGCCGGGCATCTGTGCTACCCCAGGAATTGTGGGCTCAGAGATGAGCATCTGCCGGAGCCTCAAGGCAGGAGGCGAGGCAGGGCCTGGAGCGAGCTCGGTCACGGCTCCAGGTCCTCTCCTCCTGCCCCGAGCTGGAAGGCGGCGTGGAGAATGTGAGGATTGCAGAGTGGCCCTGCAGCCCTCTTGGGAGAAAGCAACATGCTCCAGAGGTAGTGACAGTGGCAGAGACTCAGCTGTAGGTCAGGAAGCCCTGTCTCAGCCCCTTCACTGTTGCCAAGGTGGTCAGGCTGCAAGGGCCACACTTCCACCCTGTGATGTTGTCAGGGCCAACCTGTGGCTGGTGCTGGACTCTCCATCTGACAGCAAGTGCTTTCCAGAGAATTCAGCTGTGCTCCTCCCACACTGTGGCTGGGGCTCAGCTGCTCTTGCATGGACAGTGTCCTCCTCTCTGGGCCATGGCAGAGCCACCAGGCCCTCATGATCCCTGTGAGTGGATACCAAGAGAAGCTGTGGTCCCAGGAGAGATGGCCACAGCCTGGACCCCTTGGGCCTAAATCCCCAGGCAGCTCTGGGGTCCGAGTTTGCATGTCTGGTGGAAGGTGGCTGTCTTGGGTACTTTTCTCTTGTTGCTGAGGCAACATACCTGACCCCCAAGATTAAGGAAGAGAAGGTTTATTCAGCTTACAGTTTGTGAAGGTTTCAGTTTGTAATCAGCTGGCTCAGGGCAGGATGGCAGGACATAGGGGGCAACGCTTCAAAGAAGCAGAAGCAGGAGCAGAAAGGTGGGAGAACCAGCCCCTTGCCCATCACGTGGTAAGCAGGCTGTCACCCACCCCAGGGCGGATGCCGCACTCACACTGCTCCCTGCTGTCTTCTTGCTCAGGGTGAGGATGCTTACAAAGGACCCAGGGTCCCTGCTCAGTGGCTCGGTTAAACTTCTAAACCTCCCAGGTGGACATAATGTATCAGTTACTACAGTGACGAACAGTCACCTTGGGAGCCTCTGGACCAGCGCCACAGTTCCCCGTCTCTGTCCCACCCCCTCTCTGACCTTTAATCACCCACTTCAGACACCCACCCCCACCCCGTCAGGCTCCCTGCTCCTGGATTAAGCAGGCCCTACAGCGGTGAAGAGGGGAGAAGGCCCCCAGCCCTGCCTGCCACCTGGCCAGGCAGCTCTAGGGTGCCAGCCCTGCAGCTGACCTCTGCCTCCACGTTCCCTGCTCTCCCGCTTAGGACAGGTGGCTCCTGGGAACACAACCTTCATCAGGAAACACAGGGCTTTGGCGCCTGGAGACTGGCCCTAAAACGTCAGGCAATGATCTGAGAGGGGTTTCGGGCACCAGGCACCAGCACCTTTGATCTTCATTCTGTCCCTCCCCCTCCAACGCTCTCTCAGCCATTAGGCCACCCTGTGAGCAGCCGTTCAGAGGCTGCCTGGGACCAGCGCTCATGAGCATCTCCCTTACACAGGCACCCACCTGAGCTGGGCGATACCAGCACTGGAAGCTTAGACTCACCGCTGTCCCTAAAAGCTGAGGGCTGAGCACGGTCAGACATGTACACAGTCACCACTACACAGGACAACCCAGGCCCGAGCACAGTGGGCAGAGCCAGCCCAGCCTGAGGGTTGGAGGGGCTCCCTGGAGGCAGGCAGCAAACTCAGGGCTGCAGGAGGAGCGGCCCAGGCAGACCAAGGCACTCTGGGAGGTCTATAAACCCAATGCCTGTGGGTGACAAGGACCCCTCAGGCTCCAGGCAGGGGCAGCCCTGCAAGGGGCACCCAGTTCCTCATGGACGCTGTGCTCCCGGTCTCAGGGGACTGGCCGGGCCTGGCCCTGGGGGAGTGGAGAGGTGAGGGGCAGGCAGGCCGGGAAAGCTTCCGGGCACGAGCGTGTGTGGGCAGGGCCGTGTGCAAGGGCACTGCTCCAGTCCGCCAGGCTGGGACCGTGCTGAGCTTCCTCCCCCTCCCCCGGTGCCTGCCCTTCTGCGAACATTAGAGTCCACTCAGCTGCCTGCAAACGGCAGCTCAGCTCTGTGATGCCGCCTGCCAGCCCACTCCTGGCCCAACAGGAGACCAGGCCCTCCAGGCTATGACCAGGGCAGCCTCCAATTGTCACTGAGCAGAAAGCTGGAAAAGGTTAGAGCTATGTCCCCAAGGAAGGGCTGGGGTGTCCCTCGGAGAGGCTTCCTGGTGAGCCTGCACAGACAGCCAGGGCCACCCAGCAGACGAGGAGGCCCCGTGCAGCTGTGGGAGGTGGGCAGGGGCTCCTGGCCAGTGCTGGCCACACAGACACTGGGCTCCTGCTGTGGGCCTGACAGGAGACAGACGAGCAGACCCTGCCACATTCTGCAGGCGGCCGTGCAGCACATGTGGACGAGAGGCGGCAGCTGCCACGCTGACAGCTCCCCAGCCCCGACCAGCCAAGAAGCATGCTGCTCCCTGCGGCTCAGCCACTTCTGGTGACAGTGATTGACACACAGGGCACCCTCCCTCTGGCTACCCAGGGCCTGTGCCAGGGTTCCGCATCAGCCTGCCTAGTAGGGAACCAGCGGTTGGGCACCAGCACCCAGGAGAGGAAGGTGCAGGCCTGGCAGAGTCGTCTCCCAGACACAGCCAGCTCAACTGGGTCCTTTCATGGCCAAGACACATGGACTGTGACCTTCTAGGCCCTGGTGACACTTGACCAAGTAGGGAAATCAACCTTTGTTCCCATGGTGTAACTCTGCTGCTTTGAAATAAAGCAGTTTTCACCTTAATTCAGCCGTCTGTTTCCAATTAGTTCCAGTGTGCAAGGAAACGGAGTCACACCTGGACGAGGTGACTTTGCAGTGGTGCCCACTGGGGCTTCCCTGGAGAGCAGGAGGGACGGGGACGACCAGGGGGAAGGAGGAGCAGAGGCACAGAAACCACACCCCAGCAGACGACGGCCTGTGCAAGTGTCAGCTTGGCATGGTGCAAGGGCCCAACAGCTGGGTGGCAGGTGTCCGAGGGCGGAGGACATGAGGGAAGCTGGCACGTCCTGTGGGCCGGGGTATTTGGCTTTGCCAAGGGCCAGCAGCAGGGGAGACTGCAGGAGGACCCACAGATGACCACGCCCCAGGACCCTCCTCAGTGAGTACAGAGGAAGCTCACACAGAGCTGTGGTGAAGCCGGGGGCAAGGGGACGTGGGGCAGGGGTGCAGCTCAGGCCACAGCGCTGAGCGCCGAGTGCTGAGGCCCAGGCTCAGCACATATCAGCCTCGGCAGGCTGGCCTCAACAAGGAAAGGTCCATGTGGGGAGCTGCCCTGGGGCCCACAGATGCCCGCCACTGCCGTGGTACCAGTGTCATCCTCTTAACTGCCAGCCTGATTCTCCGGGCCTTCTTTGGGGACCAGGACTTGGGCAGGGACCGCTCTCTCCTCACCCAACACCCACCACTGCAAACCCAGGTACAGGGCTCTGCAGCGCACCCACATCACCTAGAGACTCATCATGCAAAGGGACCCTGGCCAGGCCACAGCTCGTGTCGAGTGCCTCAGGAGCCTGAACCAGTCTTGCAGCAGTCAGCCCCGAGTGGCCAAGGTTAGATCAGTAACTGCCAGTCTCCTAGTTGCCTCCATTTCCAGTTCAGGGGGACCAGCCAGGGCAGCCAAGCATGCCCCCTACCCGACCGTACGGGACGCAGCACACCCCAGTGTTTGTTCCCCATGCCAGCAGACACCAACCCTCCCTGTCTGCCCACTGTGGAGCCTCCCGTGGCCCTGCTGCCAAGTTGCTGGCACAGGCAGGGCAGGTGGCAGATGCCTCCCTGGCTGTGGCAGCGTCAGGACAAACTGCCTTTGCTTGTTCTTATCTGGGTGTCTTCGCTCCTACACTGCGTTCTGGAGAAGCTGGCCCCATTCCTGGCCATCCTCACTAACAGTGCCCATCACCCACGTTCCCGAAAAGGGCGGCACAGACGGGCTGGGAGTCGGTCTCAGGACGAAGGGAAAAGTCACAGCCAGCAGTCGGAAGACACCCAGCTGATGCTGCTCGCTGTGGCCTTCGGACGCTGCCTGGTGTAAGAGCTGAGGACTGGGTTTGACCTCACAGGTCAAGGACTTTGTCATGCTACGGATCTGGGGCAGCCTCAGCAGGAGAATGTGGCCTCCCAAGATGCCATCCCCCAAGCAGCCGGACCACCTGTCTAGAGCTCAGCTCGGTGACACATTCTTCCCGGGGCAGAGGCTGAGGAGGCAACCTGCCACCTCCAGGCTCACAGGGGAGCCTGGTGGGAGGGGGGGCCCCCAGCACAGCACTGGCGTAACACAGGCTGTGGCAAGCTGCCTCTCCACCTGAGCTGCTCTTAAGATACACAGACCTCAGCAGAAACAGTGATTCTCCCAAGAACTTTCACCCTTTCAACTCCTGGGCCTGGACTACACACCTCTTTACAGGGGAAGAAACGTTACTCCAGAGCCAGTTCTGACAAGTTCACAACCGTCAGTGCCCCACGTGGCCGGGAGGTCAGCCTGCTGCCACCTGCCTCCAGCCTGCCTCCAGCCAGCTCAAGGCTGAGCACACGTCCTGGGGGCTCGAAGGGAGCTCAGCAGGGCCCTGGCCTCCTGGAAGGCAGCCCTGGGGCAAGGGCTGAAGCAGGAGCACACTGTCCTGAGGCTCCTGTCCTGAGTGAGGGAGCTTTACTTTGGCATTTACACATTAGCGTTCTGAACGAGATTTCTTTTGAGCCAAATACTTCACTACTTAAATAAAAAATTATGACAGCACTGTTGCCTCTACATCTTGGGAAGGCCCTTAGGCCAGACTGGGCAGGACTGGGACAGGACACAGCTGGGGGCACGTACTGTGGGCAGTGACCGTGGCACTCTGGGGTGACCAGCAGCCCAAGACTCCACAAGAGCTTGGTTTCTGGGCTTCTCCAGCATGAGGTTACACTCACTTCAGGTCTTGCTGAGCCAGGCCAGGGCTCCACGAGGCTCTGCAGGGCCTGGAACTTTGCATCTTGTCCAGTGTAAGGCTGGTGCAGAGTCCCTGGTGGGTCTCTGCTGCTCTGGTGGCACTCAGGGAAGGCTGGGGCGCTGGGCTCCACACCTCCAGGCCCAGGAGCAAAGCCAATGACTCTGCAAGTGCCACCCAAGGGAGGCGGCTCCAGGGCCCTGCAGGGTATGGCTGTGGCTGTGCTGTCCCCAGAGTGCCCACGGTGACCTACCCTGGCAGATGGTCCAATTCTAAATGCTGGGGGGCAAACATGGGGCCCTGCAGTGTGCCAGGGGTGTGTGAAACCACAGGATACAGGATCACCCCAGAGCAAAGTGCTTACAGATACAGTCAGTAACATGTTACTTTTACACTGAAACAGTTCCTTACAGGAAGGGAAGCAAAACCTATACAAGCAATTCTAACCACCCAGCTTTTCTGCTTCAGGCTAGGGCCAGGCAGAGGACTCCCTGAGAGTCCTAATAGGCAGTGGTGCCCCACAGCCCATTGGAGCTGAGGACAGCGAGATAGCTGAGTCCTGGGACCCAGGACCCAGAGGACAGTGCTCCCTGTGACTGGGAGACAGGCCGGAAGAAGCAGGAAATCAGCCTCACAGGGAGAAGGCTTCAGGAAGCTGGGTAGCCTCCCCACAGGGAGATTTAGCCCTCAAAGACACGCCTTGGCTCCCAGGAGAAGCTCGAGCAAATGAACAGCTCGGTATACACAAGTTCCTCGAGTTACCACCTTTCATAGCAAACCTCCGGAAGACGCTGCAGTGTCCAAGATGGGGCCACTGCTTCTTACAGCGCCTCAACCCGAGGGACCAGCAGAGCAGGCCTGGTGAAGTAGATTCCCTGACCAGGGGAGGCGGAGTACACAGCTGCACAGCCAGGCTGCCGAAGGGCTCAGGCGCCACGGCCCGCTGGGGAATAAGCCACGGATCTTCCCAAGTGCCTGCATCCGTGGGGAGAGGACCTCTCCCATGATTTCAATCTTCCTCTGCTGGCTGCCTTATCATTTGAGTCTCCTAGAAACTGTAACAGTATTTCCAGCAGAAGGAGGGAAGTCACGGTCGGATGTCAATGTTCTCTTGCAGAACACTAAGACAGTTACGTACGAACCCTGCGTCTGACACGGAGAGGAGAGGCTGCGTGGGAAGGCAGGCCCTGCGCTGCATCTGTAGCTGTGTGGGTTGAGCGGGGTCAGGGCCAAGGAGAAACCCCAGCAAACAAGGGCAGCCCTCGGCAGGGCTTCCCTGGTCTCCTGTGTTCTCTAGTGGCATGATCATGCCCTTCCCTCAATCAGGCAGATTGAAAAGACAAAGAAAAGCCAGGCTGGTCGGGCTCCAGCTTTGTGCCAGCAACGCCCACCCTCCCAGGCAGCCCAGCAATGGAGCCACAGTGCCCCCGCGTGGCCATGGCAGGGAAGGACCTAGGGAGCTCCAGGAAGGCCTGGTGTGTGGGCAGACAGAGATGTGTGAAAACCATCAGCTTCCTGTGAAGAACAGGGTGTCCACCGGACGCCTCGGGCCATGTGAGGCTTGGCAGGGAACTGGACCTCTCCGTCCTCCATGTCCCCATCTGTGAATAGAGGACCATCCTAGGACCCTGACCGCCACCCACACTATCACAACAGTAGACTGTGGGTGGCCTAGAGTCCTGGCTCAGCTATCTGGGCTGCGTGAATGGGAACACACAACCTGACTCCGAACGTGAGCTTCCTGAAATCCACAGAAAACAGCCAGCATCAGTGCAGCCTCCCACAGCGCCAGGTCTCACCCTGTGCCGCACGGATCCTGAGAGTAATCTGCACTGTGACCTTTCCACTTAACCAAGAGTACAGTCCACTTAACCAAGACTCCGCGTGCGTTCCTAAAGCTTCCAGCTCAGTTTTACAAGCAATGTGTCCACATGAAGCCCTAGTCACGACACACAGAAAGACACAGCTGCAGGGTTTTGGAAAAGTGATCTTACGGGTAGAGGGAGCTAACGCAAGCTAATCTAATTAGCTCAGTTCTTGGCATTTAACAAGCTCTCAAAACATGCTGCTTCTTATTCCTGACAAAGGGAAGAACACGAGAGTGCTCAAAACACCCCGCTTTTCTGGAGTACAGAGCCAGGGGCCACAGGTCCCAGGCACTGGCACACACCCCGCATGCTGCTACCAGAATCAGCAGGAAATTCAGGACAGCTTGCCAACCCCAAAGAGCATTTTCCTACCCAAAAAAGGAGCCACTTTGCTAAGCACGTCCTCTAGCCAAAGCCTGGCACTAACCACCCAAGTCCATCTCAGCTTGGCTCCACTTGTGGTCACTCAAGACAGCACTGAGCAAGAGTTCAAGCAAGGTCTTGTCTTTACCAAAACAAGCCCGAGAAAAGCCAGAGCCGGGCCAGGCTGGCAAGTAGGCGGAATTACCAGCCAGTGCCAGCATCACCCGCCATGCGTGGGGCTCTGACCTCCTCCAGGACCAGGCCAGCCGGAGGCCACTGGGATGGTGACTCCAGCATCTGCTGCAGGCCCCTGATGTGAATCCTCATCCCCCACGCTGGCCTTCCAGCACCTTCCAGAGAGCCTCATTCCGCAGGTCAGTTAAGCTGACCTTGCCTCTGCCTGACTTCTCATGGGCCCGAGTTCCTTTCTGGAGCTGGAGCTACAGGACAGGGCTCCTTCCGCTGAAAGTGAGAGCTCCCATAAACCCCAGACCCACTCACAGGGCAGGGCTCAGGGCAGTGTGGTCTGTGTCTGACGCTGCAGACGGAGGGTCGCAATGACAGCTAATGTTAACTTCTGTGTGCCCCACTTCATCTGCACAAGAGCCCCGAGAGGCAGATGTGACCAGAAGCCCATTTTTACTGAGGAAAACTGAAGAAAAGAGGTAAACACCAGGGCCAATGAGGGACACGGGCAGGGATCTCCAGCCCTGGTCCCATTCCTGCCAGCTGCCAGACCTCGCGCAGGGCACCCGACTTCTGCAGACCTGTTTCCTCAGCCTGTTCAATGGGCAGTATGTGGCCCTCACAGTGCAATGCCAACACACAGCAGGTGCTCAGAAAACATGTCTCACTCTGCTTGGGTATGGCTGAGTGGCCAGGGTCCCAGGGAAGCCGCCTTGGCTTGGTTGAGAGGTCCCACCCAAACCTGTCTCAGGCCTAGAACAGGGCCTGAAAACAGACCTGTGGCTCTCCCGTCTCCTCATTCAGCCCAGGCCCCTGTCCCCTCTCCCCACAGCAGGAGTAGTCCATGCAGCAGGGGCTGAGGGCCAGCTCACTGATGGGTGGACGGAGGGGAGGACCAGGGAAGAAACAGGGAGAGACGGGCTGGTCTGCCTCTCACCTCCGCCAGGGCGTGGGTGCACGTGAAGGGGACTCTGTCCACCAGCCCAGGGACCACAGACATGGGTGATCCCAAGCGTGAGCAGAGAGCCAGTCCCAAGCACTGCAGGCTGAGCACCTGTGGCCCAGGCCCCGGGACTGAGGAAGCACAGAAGCCTTCTCGGAGGTGCCAGGGGAGGGACAGAGGCTGTCACCTGTCACAGTCCCAAGAAGAGACGCTCCCGACAACAAAGACTCACCGCAGAATGCCCAGGGGATCCAGCTCTTCCTCCTCCTCCTCTTCCTCCTCTAGGGACGTCTCTCTGGCCTCACTTCTCTGGCCTAGGACTGGCTGACCCGCAGCAGCCACTCCGTCCTGCTGCTCAAAGAAGTCGAAAGCCTCCTCACCATCCCCCGCCTGGCTTCCTGTGTCATCCGGGACAGAGGAATCTCTACCAGTAAGACCTGCAGCCCCTGGGGACCTGGTGCCTGTAAAGACAGAAAAGAAGGGGCTTCGAACCCGCCCACTGAGGCACAGCAGCCACTCCTCTACTGGAGCAGGAGCAAATGCCAGTACCATGAGGCGACTCATTCCCTGTGCAAAGTGCCTGCTGTAGTGGCACCAGTGTGCAGTCACAGTGGAAGCTCCACAGGGAGGCTGAGCCCCTGGTTCCTGGGCCAGCTACAACCACAGGAATGGCCGGCCCACACTCACCGGGCCAGCCAGGACCAACAGCGGCAGAGGGGTCTCCCAGTGCAGCGCCCAGCAAGGGACCCTGCTGACCCAGAGACAGATGGAGACCTGCTCCGGACTCGGCACCGGGAGACCACAGCTGCTGCCAGTGCCCTGGGGCCACGCGGGAGATGAAAACAAACCCAGCTCGCCTACTCTCCAAGCGCAGTGCACAGCCAGGCATCTGTGACAATGCAGGAGGGGAGCAAGCATCTGGAAGCCCCACAGCAGCCTGGCGTTAGTGCCACAGCACAGCCTGTGACAGGCTGGGGAGAAGGGACTCCGTCCAGCGGGAGAAGCGTGGGCCTGGACTCCTTGTTCATCTCTCTCCAAACACATATTGGGGGTTTATTTTTTAAAGCATCCACTATCTTAAAAATATCACTTGGTAGGTAAAAAAAAGAGTATTTTTAAACTTCCGCAGGATGTGTGGGGCGCTAATGACTGCACCGTGTACTCTGTTCTGTTCTTTTACTCAAAGGTGAAAATACTGTTCCCAGTTTCATTACGTTTCCCGTAATAAGCATCTGACATTTAACAGAAAACCCTGTGGGAAAGGTGACTGTGCCTCTGTTTAAGGACAAGGAAACCGAGGCTCAGCAGGGCTCAGGGAGCTGGAGCATCCTGTCGCACCTCGGCACAGCAGACAGGGCAGGCGTCCAGCCTCCTGCTGGCTGCGACAGAAACCCTCGTCACAGCCTGTGCAGCGCCAGAGATGGGGCAGCAAGGGCCTTGGTCAGAGAGCACATGGGCCGGAGAATGCGCATGGGACACAGCAGTGGACACAGGAAGCCCGGCTCTGTGACCTCCTCCCGCCTGGCCCCTCTGCGCGTTTGCTGGTTTCCACTCACTGCGACCCTCACTGTTTAAATGCTGGTTATCCACTGCCCACCTTCTCTTGGAAATTTCCCTTCTGTCCCATGGAACAGACTCAGAAAAGAGGGACGCTGGGGACACGGCTGGCAGGGGCTGGGGGACACAGGCTGGAGCGGCGGGGCACACTGTCAGCTTTTTCCCGGGTGGCCACTCATTGGACCCTGTGACCACCCGTCAGTGTCACTCCAGGTTCTGGGGGTCCCCGTCAAGGACGCTGCCTGAGAGGGCTGGAGGCGGGGTCTCCACAACAGGAGGTGGTGTCTAGAGCGCCCCACAGTCCTCTGGGAACAAGGCTGAGAATGAGGTGCCCTGAGACAGGGTCACCAGCCAGGTGTGGGGGCGGAGCTGCCCCTGATGCCACAGGCCCCAGGGCTGACAAGGAGAAGGGCTGTACATATGTAGGTATGCACGTGCATGTGTGTGTGTGTGTGTGTGCGTGCGTGTGTGTATGTATGTGATAGAACAAGAGATAGCAGGCTGGCTGGGAAAGTCTGGGGAACACCCTGCATGACTGTGCAGGGCACCCCACGCTGGTCCTCCCAGGGTCAGTCAGGCCCTCAGGAGCCAAGTCTACCCACCACCCAGCCCCAGATGTCAGTGACCCCCACCCACCCAACCTGTGGGCATAGTGGTGCCCAGCCAGGGTGGTCAGGCCCGGTGCTGGGCGGGGAGGCCTCAGGAACAAGGGACAGAGCCTCAGTACCTAAGAACTCGAACAGCTCTGGGCTGCCCGCCAACTGGGCATCCTCAGCGACACGGCGCAGAATCTCGCTGAACATGGCCCTCCTCTCCCGGATGTCGGACTCCCCCACAAACAGGACCTTCCGGGGCAGCGGGGGCAGGCTGGCTGCTGGGTAGCGACTGCTCAGTTTCTGGTAAAACTCCTCTATTTCACTGTACTTCTTGGAGACCTGAAATGACAGAAGCACGCGTCTCCCTGAGAGAGGCCCTCACCCCAACCACCATGCGGCTTTAGGAGTGCACCCAGGACGGCGCCCACTGCCCCTCGGCCCACCTCATGCTGGGCCCTCTGGAGCAGCTGAAAGGCTCGGGGGAGATTGGCGATGGTGTGAGACCTGGGCCTGGGTGAAGCAGTCAGTACAGCAACCCAGGCTGGCCCACAGGTGTCCCCGGGTGCCCCCTATGTTCTGGGCTTTCCTCAAAGTTGCAGGGTGAGCTCAGTACCCAAAGGCTGTGAGGTCAGCTTTGGGTAACTCCATGAGTGAACAAGTGTCAGGACAGAACTTCAGATCATCCATGTGCTCCTGTGAACCACTGGTGGCCTTCCAACGGGGCAGTCCCCACCTGTGGTACAGTCGGGCACTGCCAAAGCTGCCGCCAGCATCCTGCAGCATGCCAGGATGTGGGCAAACCCAGGCAGGGCTCCAGCTGCCAGGACACCCCAGGCACCCTGAGATGCTCTGTGTGGGGTGAGCAGCCACCGCACGACGGGCTTGGACCATCACTGTGGTCTGCACAGTCAGTGAGCTATCCTATGCCACCACGCCTACCAGCAGCCCGCTGTACCCTGGCTCCCCACAATGGAGCTGGCTTCCCTGACGAGTCTGGTAGTGTGAAGAAGACACAACCAACTCACACTCACACCCAGGGCCTGGGCTGCACGCTCAGCCTGCTCTGAACATGCTGGGAGCAGCCGGACTGCAGGTGCTCCAGCATACACAGGCTGTGGAGCCCTGGTGACCCCTGCCTGGTGTTGGATCACCAGTCCCCCAGTTTGAGGGTTTTAGGCACTAGGACGTATAGGGGGCTTCAGAACCCCCATAGGGTTCATAAGTCACCTGGGACAGAGCTGCTGTCTGCAGTTGTCAGCGCCCAAACTTGATGTGGGTTTAGGGAACAACTCTGATTCCGTCCAGGCAAAGCAGGATGCAGTGGAGGCTGAGCGCCCCCTGCTGGCAGGACGCCCCCACGCAAGCCAGACCCACAAACCCACTGAAGTAGGAAGCAGCTGGACTCCAGAGCTTAGCCTGAGCTCCAGCCCATCCAGCACTTACGCCCATCAGCATCATGGCCAGGGCATCTCAGCAGCTTCCTACCTGCACTAGCAACGAGGGGGCCCAGGAAGACACACTGAGCACCGCAGCATGAGGTGAGAACACACGCTCATCTGTGGCTCCCATGTGCCAGGCGGTGGGCACACAGCACTGCTGCCCCGCTCCTCCGATGCACGCACACCTGCACGGGGGCACCTGCAATCCAGGAATGGTGCCCTCCTGGGCTGGCTTTACTGCACGGCAGTGCTGCAAGGTGACTCTTGGAGGTCACTTATGGGAAAGACAGCCAGGAGACAGTAAAGCACATGCGGCGTGTCTGGGGGCCAGGCAGCGTGACCCTGGTGCTCTCACTGGCCCGTCCCCTGTGCTTTGCCGCCCTGCTGCTGGATGTGAGCAGCTGTCCTCTGCCGGGTCCTTATGCCTCAACCTTCCTGCCTCAAAGCCCGTGAGCCGAGGGAAAGGGCTCCTCTTTTAGCCACACGTGTCAGATGTTTTGCCCCAGCAACAGGAAACCGACAGCTGAACACCGGTGTGTGATTTCCTTAGCGTGATCCTTTAAGGAGAAGGTGCAAAATGCTCGTTCTTTTAACTGAATCATGAAACTCCTGAAGCTTCAGGCGTGGGCAACCTCCAGACCTCACAGGGCACACACATTCTCTCTGCCCTGGCAGCACCCATGTATGGGCACACACAATACACACATGTACTGTACACCTGCACACCACAGGACATGGGCATCACTGGTGAGGCCCAAGTGGCACTGGTGCAAACTGTGAAGCTGTCACAGCACAAAGGACCCAGCTGGCCCGCTTGTGCCCAAGAGTAATCAGCCTCAGATGGCTCCCTTTCTGACCCTGTCCATGAAGACATGTGTCTTAGTCTTTCCTCATCGCTGTGATGAAACCCAACACGGGCAGCCTAAAGGAGCAAAGGCTTATTGTGGCTCTGGTTTCAGTGCTGGTACAGTCAGAGGCAAGGTGGGCCCACCCAGGCAGAGGGCGGAGAGGCACTCTCGCAGGCCACGCCCCCAGGACAGCCTTTTCCAGCAGGCCAGACCCTGCCTCCTGGCCCTGTCAGCGGTCACTCCCCCAGGATTCAGTGCCCTTCTGAAAGCCTCTGAGCACCTGTGATTCTTGGGGGACACCCAGATCCAAATCACACAGGGGCACTAAGTCCACCCTGGCTCCACTGAGTCCATCAGGAGCTGCAAAGAGCCCGGACCAGCAGGGCCACACACGGTGCACAGCAGCCCCGGAACCACCAGCTCACACCCCACCGGGCTTCCCCAGAGCGCCAGGGCTGCAGTGAACCGAGAAAACACCACTGCTGATGCAGGCCCTGCTCCCGGAGCTGCTGGATGTCCTTAGAGAGAGACCGGGCCCGGCACTTCTCTTAGGACGCATCTCACTTAACAGGTCGTCCTTTTTCTCTCTTCCGTGGCTACCCCAGAGGTGATTCAGGGCCAAGCCCGGCACAAGCTGGAAGCCAGCTCCTCCCTGCTGTCAGACAGGACTCCGGCTCCTTCTGCCTGAGCCTGAGGTCCTGAGCTTGTCCTTCCTGGTCACTGGGTCCAGCTCTTTTCACAAGAGACCAAGAACCTGAAACCCTCTCGTCTCCGGCTCCTGTGACTCAGGGGACAGTCCTCTTCCTTCTGCTTCGCGTGCAGAGCCTTCCTGGCTGGCTCTGACTGCTGATGCCCCAGGCTGCTTCCTTGGTCCTTCTCTCCACCTCCACTCCAAACCCATGTCTCCAAAGTCAGTCCCCACCCAGCCCTGGTGGGTCCCTGTGTCCACCCTCCTTGGCATTCTGTTAGATCTGCCTCTCCCCCTACACAGTGAGCGCAACCGTGTGCAGGTCACCTGGACACTGTCCACCCCTACCTGCCTCAGGCTCCAAGCCTTACCATAGGGACCGCTGCACCAGCCGTACCCAGGCCCCTGCACCCTGACTTCCTCCTTCCGAAGCTACCCACGGCCCGACCCAGGCCAATGGTCGCCCCTGCTTAAATCACACCCCTGCTTAAAACTCCTACTTGACTGCAGGACAAAGCCAGGTTCGACGTGGATCCTGCCCGGCTGTGTTCACCTCCCTGCTTCTGCTCTGGCTCACGTTTTACTGCTCCGAGTCCCTCACGCCACCTGGCTGGCAGCCTTAGGCTGTGCTCTCTGCCGAGGACACCCAGATGAGTTCTGCCACTCCCAAGGGGTCTCCAGGGCGCTTCCCCACTCCCCACACCCTGGAGGGCAGGAGTGTCTGCCTGCCTGGGCCTTGCACACCCTTGGGGTACCCCAGCTCAAGGGCCCCACTTACCAGGAACTGAACAGCATCCTCGGGCTTGTGCTTGGCGGATTTGAACGCAGCCAGCCGGGTCACCACCAGGATCTGGTACTCCACGTGGCCGGACAGCATCTTGCCCCGCACCTCCTGGTGTTGGGGCACGGACAGGTCAAGGCCGGTGTGGACATTCTGGACCTGCCTGCCAAGGACAGAGGGCAAAGTTGGGCTTCTGGTCAGCAGGTAACACAGGGGCCCTCAGGGGCCACTGTGCTGGCACAAACCTTGGGTCCTACTTTTGGGCTGCTCAGGGACCAGTCTGTTCCTGGCAGGAAACAGAAGGATGGGGCTTGTCGGAAAGCACAATCAGCTAAGTGTTTTACACCAACTGGTGTGTGAGCTCGGCAGGATCTGTGGGCAGCAGCGTGTCTATGGGCTCCATGGAGATAAGGGAGGGGTCAGGTCTACACAGACAATGCAGGATCGAGAGCTTCCTGGAAGCCGGGTGCACCCCTCTTCAGCCTGCCAGAGGCAGGGGGATGCACTGGAGCCTGGCCAGGCAGGAGCAAGCACCACGGTGGGGGCCAGCAAAGCAGCAGGAAGAGGGTGGTTTCCTCCACCGTGTGGTCAGCGTCTGCTCTCAGGGCTGCAGGGCTGCACTGGCTGAACTGAAGCTCTCAGAGCTCCCACCCATCCTGGTTACCAGAATCTCAGATACCAGGAACCGTGGGGAACACAGGCACAACGTGTTCCCTCAAAAGTGAGAAGGGCGTTGTGTACTGCTCCTCCTGCACCAGCTGTGTCGCAGAGCTGTGCAGAGAGAAAATATCAGCCAGTGCCAGGCAGGATGTCTCTTCAGGATAGCAAGGCCCAGGCCAGGCCAGGCTCCAGGAGCTTGAACTGTGGCTGGCCTTACTTGGGCCACCCTGTGCTGGCCCCAGGGCTCCTTGGAAAAGGTTCTGCACACCCCCGCACCACGCTCCTGTCCACAGCTGGGGTGGCCAAGACGTTGGGCTGAAATGGCCGAGGCAGTTCCCACTCGGCCTGGTCTGCCTCGAGGGTACAATCACACTGCCTGGTCCTAGCTGAAGCTGACAGCCACCAACTTGAAGCCCTGCTGTGACCTGGTCACCCTGCCTCTCCCTGGCTGTGGGTTCTCTAAGTACGGGCCCTGGACCTGCACCATGTCCCTCACCCCGAGTCAAAAATTGAGTGGGCAAGCAATGTTCCTTCCAAGAGCCCGGTGTGACTCGCTGGCCTGGGCCCGGTCCTCTGGCTCTGGTGCCCGAGGCTCCTGGATCCATAAAAGGTCAGACAGGAACAACTCGGGGCTCTGTGGGACATCAGATCTCAGCTGTAGCGGCTCAGCTCTGCCTCCAGAGTGGAAAGCGGCTCTGCCGACAGGACAGGCGGCTTCTCTTTGGAGGTGGGCACATGGCGAGAGGTGGGCAGGATGGACACGGATACCGTGACCTAGACCAAGCTGCTCACACTTAACTGCCTCCAAGTGCCTGGATCTTGTCACACACAGATTCCTCCAGCAAGGCTCCAGCACTGCACTGGGCTGCTCCAGGGACCAGCTGCCCAGCAAGACACAGAGCCCAGACCACCCCTCTGCAACCCGGACATCTGCTTTTCCCTGGCGACCCTGCTTATCCACCGATGGCCTGGGCTTCCAGCTCGTCTGTCAATGGGATGCACCCTGTCTTACCCCATCTCCCTCCCACGGGTCTGGCTGAACTCCAAGGCCAGCCCCTCACCTCCTCAGGGACGGTGCCTCCCCACACACCTGGCTCCTTCCCCTTGATCATTCCTATCTGCAGGCAACCCCGCCCTGCCCTCTCCTGTCAGGAAGGCTGTGTGACCCCACTGCTGCCCCGCTGCAGCAGAGCTCAGAAGAGTGGCCGGTATGCTCGGTCCCCTCCTCTGAACCCTGAGCCTAGTCCAGCTGGACTCTTGTCCTCATGATGTCACCAGCAGCCCTCGCCCTGGTTATTCATGTGACATCCAGAGGTTAGTTCTCACATCCTTCAGATGGTCCCCACGCGGTGCCTCTCTAGAGGGCCTGGGCTGCTTCTTCCCCAGGCCCACGAGCTCCCGCAGGCCCACGGCTTTAAAGACCACTGCCAGAAAGCAGCCCCAGTTACCGCCTCCAGGGCCAGTCCTGCCTCAAGCCTGCCCCACACAGCTGTCTGGCTGGCAATAAGCCCCCAAATTAATCTGTTCGTACAAATGGGGTGCTCTGGGGAAAGAACAAACTTGCTCCCAGTACCCCAAAGTAATGCCCTATAACCTGGTCCCACACCTCAGCACCAGCAAACCTTAAAGTCCAATCTCCCAAGCACCCCAGAACCTAAGCACCTGTGGGCTCTGTACATCCCCTTGGCCAGGCTTCAGGCTGTTTCCTCAGAGGCCTGTGGTCACTTCACAGCTGTCAGGGACCTCTGTCACTCCCACAACCCTCTGCCCCTGGAGTCCATCACATATAGCAGAGACCACACAGCCTTGCCAAGGGCACAGGGCTTGCTTGTGCCCTGCCTGGGCCACCTCTCCACCGCATCACCTGACATGCTCGTTGGTCCTTGGCCCCCACACTGACCTGAGGACACCAGCTCCTGCCACCTCTGCCCAGGACACCGCTTTTCAAAATTTGTTTTCCAGGGCTCTCTCCCTGGGGAGATTATGGGGGACCTGCCCTGCAGCCAACCTACCAGAATGATGTTCCCTGAGTTCCCTGACTGCACTAAGACAGGACCCCCGCCTGTCACTCTAGCCCCCAGGCTCTATTCTCCTTCTCTGGCACCTGTCAACACCAGCAGAGTCGTGTTCCACCTACTGCCCATCCACTCCCACTGAAGCTCCGCGGGGGTGGGGTGGGGGGGGAAGGACCTCGCTTTGTTCACCACTGTGTCCTAGAACCTGGACCCACACCTGGCCGGGAAGAGGCCCTCGGTAAACACGTGCCAAGGGCACTGCCTAGCCAAGAGTCCTAGGGCTGCACAGGGGCCAGCAGGGAGGGACGGGGCTCCCCCAGCCTGGCCAGCGCAGCCCCCGACCCCCAACAGGCCATGCACAGTTTGGGCAGAGCTGGAAGCCACCCAGAGCCCAGGTCACACGCCACGGGCGTCTGCTGCCACGGGCTCTGCAGCGGGGCCCCTGGTGAAAGGGGTCCAGGAATTCGGGTTACAGGTGTAGGATTAAAGTTTGTGCCGGTGGGGGCTGGAGATTTAGCTCAGCGACATAAGCGCCTGCCTTGCAAGCAGGCAGTCGTGAGTTCGATCCCTGGTACCGATAAAAACAAAAAAGTTCTTTAAAAAAAAAAAAAGTTTGTGCCGGCAAGGAGGACAGGAAGATGCCTGCGGGGCGGGGACAGGAGTGAGGCAGAGCACACAGCGTTGCTCCCAGTCCCCCAAGACCCCTCCAGGACAGGCCGGCTAGGCCCCAGGCCCGGCCCCCGTGACAGCGCCGCCGCACTGCCCTCGGCCCGCACCTCCAACTCTGCGCAACTTACTTTTCCGGTACTGGGACAAGAACCCAGGGCCTTTGCGCTGCGCTCCACCCCGCTCAACCCCTTCTAAAATTTTAAGACAAAGTCTCAAAAGTCGGTTACAACTGCTGACCCTCCTGCCTCGGCCTCCCAGCGCTGGCGATGGGGTACAGGCGTGCGGCACACGCCGGGCCTCCCGTACCCCAACTCTGCTCCGGGGGCGCGCGCGCCCCGGCCGGTTGCCCCGACCCCGCCGTCGCGGTCCCCTCCCAGGCAGCACCGAGGAACCGAGCTGCAGGGGGAACTGGGGGCCGGCTGGGCCCGGGCGTCTGCCAGATCTCGGCTGCGGTCCGCGCCTTCGGGAGCCTCAGTTTCCCCATCTGTACACGGGGCCACCGGGCGGCGCCACCTCTCCGAAAGGGCCGGCCGAGCGACGAGCCGGACCGGGACGGGGCCCGGGACCAGGACCGGGACCCGGACCGGGACCGCGCCAGCCCCACCCCGGCCCGGCGCGCGCAGGGCGGCCTGCGGGCTCACCTGGAGGTGACGAGCACCGCCGGGGCCTGCATGGCGGAGAGCGGCGGTCACGGGACCGGGGGTGGGGCCCGCGCTCGCCCCGCCCCCGCCCCGCCTAGCCCCTCCCCTCCCCGCCCTTGTCCCGCCCCCGACACGCCTCCCGGGCCAGGCGCGCCCCCTGGCGGCAGCGCGCGCAGTGGCAGCCGCGTGCGCGCCGCGGGACCCCGAGCTTGGAGAGCGCACAGCCCCAGCAGGCGCGGCGTGTGGGGGACCTCGCCGGCCTTTGTGCCGCTGTGCTTAGCCCCCGAGGGGACCGAACTCCGCCCTTTCCATTGCCGGACCTGTGCAAAACACTGCCCATTACCTCATGGCCTTTCTGTGTATTCGCTCAACAAACATCTGCTAAGCAGGGGCGCTGTCTGGCTGCCTCCAGCTCCCGCCCACCCCCGCCCAGTCCCCAGGCTCCCTCTCGCCCTCAGCCGCTGGGTCCTCACTTGGACTGTCCCAGGGGGCGCCCACTGGGGCCAGTTTGTCAGAGGGCAGCTTGGCCAAGGTGGCCGGAGGAGGGAGCAGACCCGCCTATGCCAGGCTCAACTACGTGGGAAGAAACAGGGCCTCCCTGACCTTATGCAGCGCTTCCAAGGGGGGCCGTCGGAAAGGAGCAAAGCCCTGAGGACACGGGGGTGGGAAGGAGAGGGTAGGAGAATCTGCAAAGCTCTAACCTGAGGAAGAGCGCGCTGGGAACCAGCGGAGAGAGCAGCCAGGGCCGGAGCGCCTGGTGCGTTGAGCTGAAGACTGCTGCGCCCTCTGCCGAGCCGCCCGCTCCGCCTTGGGGACAGCGGACTGGGACCGAGCCTCTGCACACCGTGAGCCAAATAAACTACTCGGTGTCAGGTATTTTGTCCCGATAACGAGGAAGTAGCTAAAACGTGCCCTGTGTAGGGGCAGAGCACTTGGAGAAAGAGCCCATTTTGGTGGGCTGAGGAATCTGTGTTTGAGCACGGGGCATTCGAGGTGCTGGGGCTGTGGGCTGGCTGGGTCCGAGGCTCCGGAGCTCTGAAGACAGCCAGGCTGAGAGCCGGGAGACTGCTGGGGGAGCCCCTGCAGGGACAGCGGGGACCTAGGAGAGCAGAGGTGCGGCTGCAGAGGGCCCTCCCCATGGGTGCTGGGCTGGTCACAGGCGCGTCGGTCCCCTGGGCCTGGGACCTGGGTGCATCCCAGGGGCCTTGGAACACCTGCTGCCCACCAAGCACACATCCGGCTTTCCAAGAAAGAGGACCCCTCCCCGGCCACCCCAGCTTCTCTGCCTGTGTGGATTCTTTGTGGCCTGATGCAGCTCCAGCACGTACTTGTGTACAATGTATGGAATGTGGGGTCTGAATCTGATATTTTCTGCTTCCTGCTTGACTTGCACAGCCCCTTCCTTGGCTGAAGCTGTGGTAACAAAAACCACATTGCAAAAGATTTTCTCCTCCTTCTCTCCCACTGCCCTGGAGGAGGCCCCCGCCCTCCCTCCTCCACTGGGGAAGCCGCTGGCCTAGGGGCAGTGTGGTCAGACAGAGGGGCCTGTACCCGCAGCCCGCACAGGGGGCCTGTGCCTTGCCGGGCACCGACATCTGTCGTTTCTAGTGGAGCGGGACTTTGGGGGTCCGCTGACCTGGCTCTGTCCTCCGATGTGATGATCAAGAGCTGTAGGGGTCTGTGGCCCTCCAGCTGGGACATGGCCGCCCCTGCTTGCCACTCAGCTAACACTAAACCGTTGGCCCTGGGGCTGCAGCAGGAGACAGGTGTGTCCAGTGGGCTCCCGGGTGACTCTGGGGCAGGGAGGGTGGGAGGAGGGAGCTGTGGTGCACCACAGAGACGGCAGGGAGAGTGCACACACGTGTCAGCCTGGGTTAGGGACACACAGGGATTCTCCCAGGAGGAGGTGGTGCCATAGCCGGGTCACGGGAAAGTGGCTCTTGTCACAGACCTTTGGCTTTCTCATTGGAGAACCAGGTGTAACAGAAGCTTTTGATTCATGACACTGCGGTAAATGAAATGGGCCCAAACATGGCTGAAACAAGATGAAATGGATGCAGGCCCTGTGGGTCAGGTACCTAAACCCACTTTCCTCCTGCTTTCACTGCTGCGGGGGCCACAAGGGGACACACGTTTTCTTGTGGTTAGAAGGGGCCGCGGGATGCAATTCTAGCTACTGTGTGTGTGTGTGTGTGTGTGTGTGTGTGTGCACATTATATTTTTCTTATGTAGGATCTAGTTTTCTAGGAGAAACCTTTTGGTCTCTTTCCTGTTTTCTTAACTCTGGAGACACAGCAGCCATGCTGTAAACATGAGGCACGAACTTGAGTTTGGGGCCTCTGTGTCAAGCATGGAAGAGCCCGGGACCTACCGCACAGGAACCATCACACCAGGCCCAGAACCTGTTCACCAGACCTCAGCAGGGCCTGAGCCCCTGCGGGCTTCCCTGGTGGTAGAGTTGTGAGTGACTTCCTGGACACCTGACATGCACTAGTCCCTGGGGGATGGGATGGCTGGACAGGAGGGGAGGGGAGGCACAGAGCAAGGTATCTTGTGAGAGCCACATCCTGCATGGGAGCTGGATCGAAAGGCGAGGGGGACCTTGAGAAGGCGGCAGAGGCCACACAGAGCCTGCCCTGGAGGGGTCGTGTGGCTGGCTGTGTCCCTGGCTCTACACCCACATTTACTCCGCCCTTACCGTTTTCCATGCCATTACGGACAACCCCACTGTGTGCCAGAACCTCAAGATTTTGTTTTTAATCCTTATATACTTATCACCACTGATACAAGCATATACATAAATTAAATTACATTTTTACACGCAAAGGTGCCAGGACAAAAGATTTTCTTCTTTAAAATGCTGATGCTGTCGAACTGCTCCTGGAAAACATCTCTGTAAATTTGCTTTCCTGCCGACCATACGGAAGCGCCCATTTCTCATACCCTACTCCATAATGGAGTTTATCTTTTTCAGCTTTTTTTTTTAAGAGGAAAAAAGAAAAGTGATGATACAAAGCTCTAAACACTAGGACAGCAGCACGGTTAATGCACTGTGCATTGATGTTTTCAAAGCAGCTGCTCAGCTGTGGGCATGAAAAATGGATCGAACAATATAAGCACAAACCTTTCCTTTCGATGAAGTAATAGAAATTAGTGTAACTATCTTCACTATCTTGTACACTTATATAAATATATATATATATATTTTCCTTTCCGCCATCCGTTCCTCTTTCACTTTGACAGTCTCGTCCCATTTCGCAGTATCCGCTGATCTTTTTCAGCTCCGCTAGCCTGAGGGATTTATACAGTGCTCTCTCACTGCTGTGTGTGCCTTTTGCCGATGAGTCTTTGGGTTCTGAGCCTGCTACTCAGTGTTTGTGCTAAGTTCCAGGCTTATGTCCATGGCCATCGGGAGAAGCACTTGGGTCAGAGTCCCATTGCAGAGTGGGTCAGCTGCCGAGGAAGTGGGGCGGCATGGGGCAGCGTGGCCTAGACTCCAGCCCCTGTTTTGTGTTTGCGCCTCCTCTGCAGGGCGGCCTCGGAGGTTAGCGCCCGCTGGCGAACTTCATAGATGCCTCTGCCACATGGGCCAAAGGCCCAGATGGTGCAGCCAGCTGCGACGTCCCTTGGTCTTTGCGGTACCCAGAGGAGCTTCCAGTTCTTGCTGGCGGTGAGGCCTCAGCCTGGACAGGAGGATGGGACTTAGGGGCCCTCCCACTCTCCTGTCCCCCATTTTCTTGGGCTGACCTCTTCCCCTTCATCACCGCATTGCCCTGAACCCAAACCCTGGGTTCTTTTGACCAAGACTGAACTGGAGAATCCAAATTAAAGTGCAAGTGTCACAGCTCTTAATCCTAATTAAAAAAAAAAAAAAAACCTTATGTGTCCACAAATGTCTCCAAGAAAATCTAATGGAGACATAACTCCAGAACACTGGTGTTTGTGATGGTCCGGTCCACAAAGGGGTGCTGCTTGAAGGATGGTGGCCACCCAGAGATCAGAGGGGAGGTGAGACGCACTAGCCTTCTAGTCAGGACTTACCAGAGAACAGTACAAACAGTCAAACAAGCCAGGCCCTGCGGGAAGGACCGTCTCTGATATTTTTCATTTACTCTTTGGCACATGAGATAAGTAGGCATCCCCGTCCTACTTGCAGGGTTAAGGAAGTCCGTGGATATAGTCCACAAAGCCGCACAAAGGTGGTAAGGAACCAGATGCTCAGGGTGACCCTGGACAAGGTCTTGTTGACTCAGCGGAGGCGTGTGGTCATCTCACCTCCCAAGCCACATCACAGCACCAGCTAAGCGGGTGGCTGCAGGGTACTGGCCCTGCTCCTGAGCCTCATTCCTGACTGGCCTGGCCCTGGTAACCCTGGAGCCTGGGCGCTCAGCCTCACGGGGCGCTGCTACAACCTGTGACCAGCAGATGGCAGCCGGCTGCCAGTTGTTCCAAGCCCAAGGGCTCCGAGATGTCCCCTGCAGGCCTGGATGCCAGAGCAGTTGCTGGGGGTAACCTGGGCAGCGGCTAGGGCTTGAGCATGGGAAATTCCTTGTGCTTGAGGAAGCCCAGCCGCAGGCAGCATAGGAGCCGAGCGGAGCCTGCTGGAGTCATTTTCTCTGCTGCTCCAGGTCTTTCTGAAGAGAGGCCTGCAGTCCATCTCTGGACAGGGCTGAGCGGAGCCCAGCATAGTGGGCGCCTGTGGATACCTCCAAGGGCTGCGGTCACCACCTCCCCTCTCCCAGCCTCCTCCTCCTGCAGCTCCTCCAGCTTCAGTCCACACAGGATAGACCCCATCTCTACCTGCAGGCATGGGCAGGCCCTCCATGACATGAGATCATCTGGGGCCTACAGCTAAGAAGGGCAGACTTGCAGCCCAAGGCTAGGGGCATAGTTTGAGTTTCAATCAGTGCCTGGTTCAGGGGCCCAACACCCTCTGCAGGGGACAGGGCACAGGTGACGCCTCGTACAATTCACCTGCAGGTGCCAAGTGCAGAGCTGAGCAGAATCCCTCAGAGTCCAGGCTCACAGAGGGGACCCAGGTCCTGCATGGCTGTCATGCACGATGACAGACTGCTCATCAGTTCCCTTCGTTGGAGTCTTGCCTTCCCTGTGTGGGCACTGTGGGCGGCAAAGCAGGCCACCTTTGATCACGTGGACAGGCGACCTTGGGCGAGGCAGAGCAGGCTGCAGCTGGCAGGACCCAAGAGTGGCTTCTAAGTGGCAGGATCTTTGCCTCAGGGGGTCGGCTCCGCCACCCACCAGGTGAGCACAGGCAAGGAGGTGAGCTTTGTGCCTCATTTTGTCTAGCTGGCAGGACACAGCTCTAACTTCTAAGTAGTAACCCAGGTGCCACGTCACTGCTGTGTGGCTCTCACAGGTATGGCGTGCAGAGCGGCCTCCATCCAGGGTATGGGACACCTGCGCGATAAGGGTGCCTGGCTGTGCAGGGCGCGAACGATGAGGCAAACACTTTGTCATGACTCGGGCATGGCAGGAAGTGGGTCTACACAACCCTCGGGTTCTTCCACATCCTGGGTTTCTATGACGGACCCCAGGACTTGATGTGTGAGGAAAGCCAATGGCTTATGCAGGAGAGAATGCTTTACGAAGTGCTCCCATCCCAGAGAAGGAGCTGGGGGTGGGAATGTGGGACCTCAGCTGGCTCCGCCCGGGGGAGAACCAACACCCCAGCCTGCTTCTCTCCCTCACCACAGCTGTTGGAGCCAGGCTGGCTTCTGCTGTCCGGGACACCACTGGAGTCCAGAGGGGTGCGCCTCAGACCCCCTCAGCGAGAGCAAGTGCGTGCAGTTCATCTCCGCTGCAGGTGGACGCTCCTCACGGGCTGTGGATGCACTCTGCTGCAGGCTGCTAGGGGTCCTGGTCACAGACAGGCCATGGTGCTGACAGCACAAGCCCATCCACGGCAGGTGCTGCGAGCTCCCGCTGAAAGCAGTGGCAGGCAGGTCTCCACTGGGGACACTCATGATCATCAAGAAGCCCCGGGCTTCCTTTCTCTGCCAAGAACCTTCCAGGGAGCTCAGGAGGGGATGTGGGAGCACGGTGCTCTAGGTGCTCTTGCTGGGGCTGGGAAGCTGAGGAATGGGCAGACTGTTGGGACTCACTCCAGGCTCTGCCAATCCCCACATGACCTCTGGCAAGGTGCTGACCTTCTTTCTGATCAATTTACCTGTACAAGGGGGATGAAAATCTCCACGTCACAGGGTAGGGCAGGTGTATGGATGAAATGCCGAGAGCTGTGTAAAGTTGTGGACAGGTAACAGACGGCTAACGTCGTTACCAGGGAGGGAGAGAGCCAGGCATGACCCTAACACCCTCTAGCCTCCCTCCTCTCCGGGCTCAGGTGTCTGCTGGCCACACCCTTCCCTCCTAGCCCTGGCTTCCGATTTCTAACGCACACTCTCTGTGCGTCCTGTTTATTATCTCTCCTGTCCACTCTCAGGCTATATGCATCTGTCTTGCATGTTACTGAATCTACACCTCCTGACAAGTAGCTGGCAATCAGAATTTGCCTGAGAGAAGACATGAATGGAGGGAGGGATGGGTGAGTGGACGGATCAATGGCTGCCTTCATGGCACAGAGAAACACAGAGAGGAGAAATTAGGCCATGGTCAGCAGCACCTGTCACCTCCAGGAAGTCTCCTCCAGAGCCTCCCAGGGCCACACATAAATTAGCCACACATAAATTTCCAAGGGTGCATCCTCCCATTTTACAGATGAAGAAAGTCAGTTTCGAAAAAGCTAAGTGACCTGCTCCCACAGAGGACAGAAAGGGACAAGAGCTCATCCCTGCTTCCTCAAGCCCAACCTGACCTCAGAGCAGCAGTGTCTTGGTGTAATCAATAAACCTGTTTGTCACCCACTGTGCCAAGATTGTGCCCAGCCTCCTCCAGTCTCCTTTACAGAAATCAAGCTAAGGAAGGGACTTGCTGGCGGAGGTCAAGGCCAAAAAAAGACCCGATAAAGAGCCCCAGGGTGTTCAATGCTGTAGGGACTGCACTGGAAAGGACCCAGCACCCGCCGCAGTGGAGAGACCCCGGGCTGGCTAGGTGTGTGTGTGTGTGTGTGTGTGTGTGTGTGTGTGTTAGTCTGGATCTTCTGCCACATCCTACAAAGCCACTGTGTCATGGAATCAGTGACCTCCATCGCTCACCAGGGTGTGCCAAGGTAAAAGCTGTCATCCTAGCCCCACCTGCGCCCCAGGCTTTCGGGTTCTAGACCCCTGGAAGACTGGGTGACCCTGGGGCCAGGCTTCCTGCCCTGACCCTCTGGCTGCTGACCAACCTTTCTCCTCCAACCTGATCGCCAGGTCTCTTCCTTTGACCCCAAACGATCTTGAGTGTTCAGGGGCCAGGAGCCAGCTTGGGCGAAGCAGCGCTGGAGGAATGAACTCGGGAGGAGGTGCCGATCCAGTGGATTCTGGAGGTTGTCTGGGGCCTCTTCCGTGGGTCAGAGAGCAGGGGGCAGTGCAGAGCGCGCCAGCACCCCGCGGCCACGAGCGCGATGGTGTCCTGCTTACGCTGGTCACCATCTCAAAGTGATCCGGAGGCTCCACTCTCAAGTTCTGTGGCAAATGCAAATTTAAAGGAAAGGAATCCTCGCGGCCAGACACTGTGACTGTTATCCAGAGTCGGCTGGGCGACTTCACTTATCCACGTGTCCCCTCACCAGGGTCTTCCCCTGTCAGCTGTGGCCCGAGTGTGCGCTCCACCCACCTCTAGCCTGTGCACCTGGGTGCCGGCCAGGCACGCTGTCGCCCTCCTGGCTTCCAGCCGCGGCAAAAGACACACGGGCAGTTGGTTTCCATTAGCCGGTGAAGAAAGAGTAGATGACGGGGACGAGCAGGACAGCAGAACGCAGGACTCCGCGCGGAAGTACCCTCGGCGCCCCAGCTGCCTTTGGAATTGTGAACTCCTTAAGCGCCTGCATCCTTTCCTCCCCGATGGTTTGTCCACGCCCATCGGCCACTGGCCGCCGGCTCCAACCCTTTGGGGTTGCGGGAGCGCAGGGCGTACCCGAACCCCTGACCAAGCACGCGCCTTTGTGGCTGCGGGGGGACCCCGGGACAGCGCCGCGAGCGGGCGCGCAGGGCAACTCCCGCACCGCCCCACGGTCGACGGCGCGGCCCCGGGGAGCAGGGCGCGCGGGTGGGGGCGTTTCCGCACCAGGAGCGCGCGGGACGGGGCGGGCGGGCGCCGGCCCCAGCTGGGGCCGAGGGGCGCGCGTCGGGCTGCGCGCGGGCGGCCGGGGGGTCGCGGCGCCGGGGACCGGAGGCGCTGCGCCGGCTGGGGCGGGAGCCTGGGCCGGCTGCGCTGCCCCGCGGGCGCGGGAGGAGGCCGGCCCAGCCCCGAGGGTGCGCGGAGGGGCGCGGCGCTGCCCGCGCGTGCGGCAGGGGGCGCTGCGCGGGCGCCGGGAGGAGGTGGGGTGAGGGGAGGGGGGGGCCGCGGCTCGCCGCGCACACTTCCCCCGTTATTAAACACTATGTTCAAAAGGCGCCGGGGGACTTCCCGAGCCGCGGAGCCGCCCGCCCGCCCGCGCGCCCGCCGCCGGCCCGCGGAGCCCATGGACCTGAGCGCCGCCGCCGCGCTCTGCCTCTGGCTGCTGAGCGCCTGCCGCCCCCGCGACGGGCTGGGAGCGGCCGCGGTGCTGCGAGCAGCGGGGGCAGGGCCGGCCCGGGGCCCGGGGGGCGGCGGCGGCGGACGGACCCTCGCCGCGGCGGCGGGCGCGTCCCCTGTCCAGGCCGCCTCGGAGTCCGGCGCCCGCTCTGCGCGCCGCGCCCCCGGGCCCGGCTTCAGGAACGGCTCGGTGGTGCCGCACCACTTCATGATGGCTCTGTACCGCAGCCTGTCCGGGAGGGCCCCGGCCGGGGAGGCCTCTGCCCCGGGCCACGGCCGCGCGGACACCATCACCGGCTTCGCAGACCAGGCGACCCAAGGTACTCGCGCCATTTCTGCGCCCGTCTTCCTGTCCGTCCCGAGGTCGCCCTTGGAGCTGTGCTCCCGCAAGTCCCAGCCTCAGGTGTTCCAAAGAAACTTCGCGGCCAGCCGGTCGAGGTCAGCGCACCGGAACTCGCTGTGCCTCAACTGTAGCACGGGGCGCAGTCGTTTCGCCTGGCCAGCCCCAGAGGGCCGAGCGGCTCCCACGGCCCGGGGGGCATTGCCCTTGCTGACCGGCAGGTCCCGTGGAAGAGGGAAACCTGAGGCCGAGATCTGCTTCTTGGGGAAGGGTCTGGAGTGGCTCCTGGCCCACAGCCTTTGGAGAGGAAAGACGGCAGGAGGGGGGCTTCGCGCCTCAGCGGTGGAGGTGGTAGCTGCTTCCTGGCAGCACTATCTGCCGTTCCCAGTCTCCTGACCGGTGCCCGGATTTGGGGGAACTTCAGGGGGAACCTGGATGGAAACAGGTATCAGACTGAACGGCCCCGGAGAGTGATGGCAATCCCTTCTCAGCAGGCTTAGACTGACGTGGGGTGCAGGCCCTGTGAGAGCCTGAGGTGGCAGGAGGGGAGGCCGGCCTGGAGTCTGTGCAGGAATGTGGGCCTCCCACCCAGGCGCCCCACCTTCCCAGGCAGTGGGCTCTCATGAGGTGGGATGTGGGTGAGGCTGTGGCGGTTGCTGTGTGTCATCTGGATTTTATTAATCTCCATTGAAACCATTAAAGCAGACAGATAGGGACATTTTAACTAATTTCAGGCGGAAATGCACATAATTTTGATCTTAATTCTGTCCAGCTAGAGATCTAGGATGCAAAGCAGAAGGGAAAGAAAAACTGAGTAGGGCTGCTGGTCTGAGGCTGGGCACCACCGACATTCTGCACACCTTGGGTTCCAGAGGACACTGCAGTGGCCACGTTCCTCCCCTGCACAGGGCCTAAGCACAGATTGCTTCATTTGAACCCCAGGGCTCAAACTTCCGTCTGGGTCTGTTAGAACCAGGGAACACTCTCTGAGGACCTGCCATGGCCCCTGCCCTGGATGCACAGATGCCCATAGAAAGCTCCAGCCCTCCTGCACCTGGCAGGGAGAGTTTCAGACCTCTGCCTGCACAGGGGCTCCCTGTTGCAAGAGAGGGGTTCCAGCAAAGGCACCAGGCTTTCTAGGTTCCACCAGGCCTGCCACTATTGCAGACCCAAGCTAAATCCACTCCCAGAGAGCACTGCATGGCTAGAGAGGCCACCTTTCCTAGCCCCTCTAGGGAGAAATGTAGCGGCTGGCCCAGGGCCTGTAAGGCTGCAGAGGTAAGGGCTCGAGAGAGCTGGGAAATACTCAACAAGCCCAGAGAGGACACAGGGGTAGGCAGTGCTCGCCTGCCTCCATCTCTACCGAGAGCCTTGCTTGCAGCAGGGTTGCTGATGTCCCTAGAGGCCACCAGCAACACCCAGATGGTGGACCTCAGGCCTCAGGGCCTGGCTCATGACTGGTGAGGAGTCCCCAGTGGCTGTGGAGAGTCTGTACAGTCTTTCCGAAGTTGGGACAAAACGAAACCATATGACTCCTTCAAAGGGAGCTCCTTATCTGCTGCCTTGTGGAATTTAAACTTTTCCCCCCCAAACCCCCAAAGGAAAAAAAAAGTGCCAAGGACCAGGAATAAAACCCCAAGCCTGAGATACGTCGCAACAGAGCAAAAGTGTGGGCTTGTTGAGGGACAGCTCCCCTGGAAGGGGCCCCCAGGCTTGTGCCGCGCTCACTGCCAGGCCATTCAGCGGCCCCAAGTTCTCCTCCATTCTTTAGCTGCCTTCCTCCTCCTTCAGGCCGCGGCTGGGAGCTCGAGCAGCCACACCCGAGGTTCCCAGTGGCGACCAGTAGCGCCCATTGCTGAGACCTTGGGCCTCAGGCCCCCTTCGGCTAAGTGAGGTCACACTCAGCGAGCTCCTGCACTCCCCTTGCGGACGACTCAGCCTTCACGGGAGGCCGCGATCCGGCCAGCGGCAAAGTCCAGGCTGGGTGGAGGGAAAAGAAATATCAGGAGAGGAGAAATTTTCCTGGGGACGCGAACATCCCGCTTCCACACGGCAGGAATCGGGACCGCGGCTCTCGGGACACCGCAGGGCAGTGAGGCGCAGGTCCTAAGCGCGGGGGCTCGGGAAGGACGCGTCCACCTTGCCTTCTGTTCGCCCATGCCTAGGAGTACGGCCCGGCCGTCCTAGTTGCTCTGGGCAGGCAGAACCTGATGGCCTTCCTCTTGGTTCCGCTGCGCTCCCGGCCCGCGGCTCAGTGGTGACGCGAATGTCGGGGGCTGTGGTGGCGGCTCCTAAACTAAATCCCTGGCGGGATCAAGCCCCTTTACTCCCAGCCTGGCTCGCAGCATTTCACTGGGACCCAGCTGCGGGCGGACGCCGGCTCCCGGGCTCCACGGTCTTCGGTCTTGCGCGGGGGACCCCGCGGCGGGGTGCGGGTTCTGCGCTCACTCAGCTCTTTCTCTCTTTCTGCCTCTGCCGGTCCCCTGCAGACGAATCGGCGGCCGAGACTGGCCAGAGCTTCTTGTTCGACGTGTCCAGTCTTCCGGACGCCGACGAGGTGGTAGGCGCCGAGCTGCGTGTGCTGCGCCGCGAGCCGGCCCGACCGGACCCGGGCAGTGCGACCGCCTCGCCGCTGCTGCTGCTGTCCACGTGTCCGGGGACCGCGCGCGCGCCGCGCCTGCTGCACTCGCGGGTGGCGGAGGCCCTGGACGGCGCACGCTGGGAGGTGTTCGACGTGGGGGACGCCGTGCGCAGCCACCGCCGGGAGCCGCGCGCCGCCCGCGCCTTCTGCCTCCTCCTGCGCGCCGTGGACGGGCCCGCGCGGAGCCCGCTGGCGCCGCGGCTGCTGGGCTTCGGCTGGCCGGGCGCAGGCGGGGCGGCCGCCCAGGAGCGCGCGCTGCTGGTGGTCGCCTCCCGCACGCAGAGGAAGGAGAGCCTCTTCCGAGAGATCCGTGCCCAGGCCCGCGCGCTCGGGGCTGCCCTGGCCGGGGAGCCACCGCCCGACCCGGGACCCGGCCCTGGCTTCCCGAGGGTCGTGCTGGGCGGCCGCAGGCGGCGGCGGACGGCGCTGGCGGGGACGCGCGCGGCGCAGGGCGGCAGCGGGGGCGCGGGCCGGGGCCACGGGCGCAGGGGCCGGAGCCGCTGCAGCCGCAAGCCGCTGCACGTGGACTTTAAGGAGCTGGGCTGGGACGACTGGATCATCGCGCCGCTGGACTACGAGGCCTACCACTGCGAGGGCGTTTGCGACTTCCCGCTGCGCTCGCACCTGGAGCCCACCAACCACGCCATCATCCAGACGCTGCTGAATTCCATGGCGCCCGACGCGGCGCCCGCGTCCTGCTGCGTGCCCGCGCGCCTCAGCCCCATCAGCATCCTCTACATCGACGCGGCCAACAACGTGGTCTACAAGCAGTACGAGGACATGGTGGTGGAGGCGTGCGGCTGCAGGTAGCGTGCGCGGGGAGGCCCAGCGGCCGCGGCGTCGGAGCCGAGCTCACGTTCACACTCACATCGCACGCTCCTCACTGCGCACACGCTGACCCAGGACAGCGGCCTCAGGCCTTGGGGTGGGGGGAAGCCGCTCCCGAGGGCACAGCCCAAGTGGGTTTTGTAAACAGATCCCCGCGGCGCCCGCCGCCTCTCGGGAGGGAGTGTGTTTGTGGTGTTTTGGTAACTGGCACTAAATTGGGTGGAAACGGGTTAGGGCTGGGGCTCCGGGACGGGTGACCCACGGGCTACTGAGCACGTTTTCTCTCGGCCCCTGTTTCTGGCGGGTGGCGGCGTGGCCACTCTGGTGGCTCAGCTCCTGGTATCCGCCCTGGGGCTGCTGAGGAGGGCTGGCTGGCTCTTTCCGGGGTTCACGGTGCACCAGGGTTGGTGACTGGGGAGGAGCTGGTGCGGACAGCCTCTTTTCCTCGGACTGTAACTTTTTAACCTGGTGCCGCTTCCCCGTCGAAAGGGAAGTTTTGCCTCAGTGTGTCGCGGAGCTTCCTGGAGCTTTGCAAAGGTCAGCGCCGCCCTTTCATCCGTCCTAGCTGGGAATGATCTAGAAAGTGGGAAGCACACAGCGTGCGTGGGTTGAAATGGGAGGGGTCGTGCACCACGGAGCCTGAGCCGACAGGTCGCGCGTGGAGCGGGGTGCGGCGCGGTGATCGCTGTCGGGCTCCGCAGCTCCCCGCTAGCGAGAGGGCGGGAGCAGCGTCTGGGGGTCGCAGGAAGAGGTTAGTGCCGGGCCACGAGGGAAGGGGCACAGCTGTCGTGCCCAGCGGTTTCCCAAGCCGCTGGCGAATGGCTGCAGAGTTTTGGGCACTTGGGGACTCAGGCTTCCACCAGGTAGGCAGCCCCTCCGCGTGGCACAGCCCAAGTGGCCGCATATGCTTGCGCTTAGCTGTCATGTCTGCGGGCGGCTCTGACATGCTTTCCCTGTTGTTGCTGTGGTTTTTTGGCAGTGTGATAGTAACAGGAAGTGAAGCCACACACAAGTGCTTTTGTCAGACCTCTGCTCTCTCCCCAGACCTTGGAGCAGAAGGAAGGGCCACCCTCAGGCTTGGCAGCTTGGCTGCGTGGACAATTCGGAAGGGCAGGGCCTTGGTGTGGGCGGGGCGCCCGTGATCATCTTCATGGCAAGGTTTTCTGTGGCTCTGAAAGCCAGCAGCGACAGGTCGGCCTTGTTGATTGATTCCTTCGTGTTTGGGAGACCTTTGTAGCCTTTTGTTAGTGGTTGGAACCCAGAATCCGGACTCCACCTTTCCGCCCCTGGCTTTTTTGCAGAACTGCAGCTCTCCTGGGTACTGTTTGATGCTGGGCTGTATGGTTCCCAGAAAGACCTTAATTCCACCCTTGTTTTGCATGGTAAGGTCCAGGAGAATTCATCCTATTTAATTCTCAGCAGTTACTCTTTACATTCTTGAAAGACAGATTTATCTACTGGAGTTAGTTTCATTCTGCAAAATTTCCTCCAAAGAGTAAAATCACTCTCACACAATGTAACTTACTCTTAAAATAAGGTTTTCACTGGGCACAGTGGCTCATGTCTAGACTCACACTCAGGAGGCTGAAACAGGAGGATCTCCTTGAGTTCAAGGCCAGCCTTGGCTATATAATGAGATCCTGTTTTTAAAAAAGCACAAAAAACTAAGATTTGTCTCATCTTACAATGTGATTTTATTATGCTGTGGCTGTGTAGTTGCTGTAAGGAACCAGGAAAGCACCTGTTTCTCCAGGTTATAAAAATCCCACACTGGCTGTTTTGGCATAATCCTAGTGTATCTTAGTGGCTGAGCAACGAGGGAGCCCAGATTTGTGGACTGTGCCAGGGAAGCCCCCCTCTTCTGTGGCAAACAGGAATGTGAATGACTCCCACGTACAGTGGCTGCTCTGATAGCTGTCACGGTGCAGAGTGACCGTGGCTCTGCAGTGTTAAAAGCTGTAGAAAGGAAGTTAATGAAACATCATGGTTAAATATTTTGAGGAAATTTTAGGCTGTTTACTATGTTTGAACAAAAGCAAATATTTTGGTATTTCCAGTGACCAGGCAGGTCAGGTCTTGCTTTCTGGTAGAGAAGAGCATGCGTCTCCCTGTCCCCCCCTGAGCTGTGTGCTGAGGGCAGTGCACATGGCCCTGTCTTCCCAGGATGCACCTGGGGAGCGGGCTGCCCTTCACTGTTCTTGTGGCCATGGCTGGCAGAGTGCTCCGCTGTCTCTGTCCATGGGCTTCTCTAGAGGCCTGTGGATCCCAGGGGCCAGGGTTTCCCTCCTGCTGTGCCAGGACTGGACTCGATGGTGGTTCAGAGCAGGCCGGGTGACCAGCCCAAGCCCAGCTATTCCCCGGCCAGTCCTCACAAGGACCAAGGACCAACTGTGTCAGCACCATGTTGTGTCACCCACTTTTCACCCCCACAGGCTCGGCAAACTGTGTGTCCTCTTTGTCGGGGAGAATTGTATACTGCCACTGAGATCCTGGGAGGGAGGGAGTCGGGTCTGACATCCCTGCTACGGAGGCTGGGCAGGCTGGCAGGGCTCCAGGGGCTGCTGTGGGGCCGCCACACAGCCGCAAGCCCTGGCACTTGACCCTGTCTTCATACCTGGAGCGCTGGTATTCAGAGAGACCCCTGCACTGCCAAGTGGGCATTTCCATGATGTCCAGGCCTTTGGGAGCTCTGGCTTTTCCAGCAGCTGGGTTGGATCTTGGGGAAGGCCAGCTAGGGCTGTGCGGCCTTTGTGTGCCACAGAGGGCAGCGGGTATGTGTGGTGTGGGACATGGTCGGAACCCTCAGAAGCCCCGTGCAGACAGAGCTGGTCCCCTGGCAGCTCTCAGGGTGGTGGTGAGGCTGAAGTGTGGCTATGTCGGAAGGGGATTCTGAGAACCCTGCAGATGGAGTAGGAGAGTGATCCAGGTCCTCCGAGCCCTTATCCTATTAGCGATCTTGCTCAGCTTGCAGCAGAAAGCAACTGGGGCTGTGGACGGACTTTTTTTCCTTAAACCACGAGGCAAAATCGCATTCTTTCCAAGAGCAGCTTGTGCACAGACAAGGTCCAGCTCTTCCGCTGCCTGAGTCTGGTCTCCAGACGACGCAGTGAAAGGAGAAGGCGTGCAGCTGTCCTGGGGCCTTGCGGTGCTCCAGAGAGCGCGTCCTCTCAAGGTCCTGGCCTCCCTGGCCAGGAAGCAGGGCCCTCTTGGAGGCCTCAGCAGGTGGGCTGGGAGGACAGGCTCAGAAAGTAGCTTCTTCCCCACTGGAGGAAGCAAAGAGCCTGTTTGCCTTTCAGGAAGTATCTGGCTTGGGACAGGAAGAGAGTATGGGGACAAGTGAACCCACATGTATAAAACTTGGGGAATAGGAAGTCACCCAGATCCCTGTGAGGCTGGCATGTCCGAGGGTCACTGGAGTTGGAGTCCATGGTGCTTTCTTCCTGTTTAGGGGTGAAGTCCCTCCACAGTGTGGCCCTACCTGCCTGGAGGGAGCTAGTTGGTGCCAGCGCTCTGAAGGTATCTCTTGAGAGATCGCGGCCAGCCACCGACAGTCACCTCCCTGCCCAGACTTTAGCTTCTGCTTCTTAAAATGAGGGCAGCTTCCGTCCCAAGAGTTCTGCTGTCTCCAGAGCTCATTAGATGGTTCCCAGGCAGATGCAGATGCTCCTGGAAATAAACCCCTGCCAACCCTCTCACGGAGCCCCAGCTCCTAAGCTGTGCAGCTCACTCTGCGTGTGGGGGTGTCGGCAGGCCACCACAGGACTCAGTTCACCTCACACACGACGCTATCTTGTGCCTCTTGCTTGAGGCTTATTCCTCAGCCTGCCCAGCTGAGCTCACACTGTGCATGTGGAGCCTTCTTCAGGCTGAGGTTGTTTGGAGACCGCTGCTGGGAAAAGATCCCCCACCTGCGGCTGGTGCCTCGGTACAGCCGCAGAAGAGGGGGCACAGCTGTTCTCCCAGACTCCCAGCGTGCCGGCCCCCAGTGCCACTCTGGGTAGCGGTCCCACTGCAGTTGCCAGGGGAGTGATCTGGGGCAGACATCCGAAAGCCGTCTCCCCCTCTTCCTTTTGTAACCTGGATAATGGTGGCAGAGTTTAACATTCAGAAGCACCAGAAGGGAGGAGTCAAACAGAGGGTTACTTTGAGTTTTTCAGACAGCTTGGACTTTTGTGCCTGGGGCCCTCTGTTTAGGCTGGAGCCAAGTTTTCTTCCTCCGCATGTTGCTTTTCTGGTCTTTAATCTGTGCCCAGAGCTTAGAACTGCACACACAGGTGATCCAGCGCAAAAGGGCTCCTGCCCCAGCCTGACAAGTCCCCTGTGTGCGTGCGGGCTGCACACAGCCAGCTGACTCAGCCAGCTGTCCCTGAGCTTGGCTTCCTCTGTCTCTCGCTGCACCTGGGCCTGTGCCTGACCTATGACAGCACCATACTTGGCTCGGTGCTTCATGCAGGCAGCAGCCATCTCACCACAGCAAGCCCAGGTCTAGGGTTCGAGGTCTGCGTTGCCAGGCTTGCTCACCGTTGCTGATTCCGTTCACCCCAGAGCAGCACACCTGTCTGGCAATGGCTTATTCCTTCCACCCAGGGAGAACGAGCAGGCCTCCTCAAGCATCTGTGTGACAGCCACAGGACTGGTGTCTCTCTCACGCATCTTCAATGGCAAGTAAGTGTCAGCATCACAGAAGTGTCCTGAGAGGCGTGTTTCCGCACAGGAGGGGACCCTGCAGGTGCGGTGGCTTGGGGGAAGGCATAAGCAGCACATTTCACTCGACAGGTCGACTTCCTTCTGCTGCGTTAGGGACTCTTCATCTGGAGTGGCCCTTGAGAAGCTGAGACAGTTGTCTAGGAGAGCAGGGGAAAGCTTCTGCTCAGACTGGGAGCTCTGGGAGGGCGGGACACAGCTCAGGAGGAAGCTGGCTTCTGCCTCTGAGTTTCTGCTTTGCCACCTTCTGAGTGGTTAGCAAACAGGAAGCATG